AGAAACCTCTAGATCACATTAAGTGGAGGAATTGTTTTGGAAGAGACTGTGGACCTGTCGTCTTGACAGATTACTGATGATGATGAATTAGAAAGGACCGGTAATCAATGTTACTAAATGTCAAATGTCTTATAGGGCTCTTGCTGGCTCTTACTTAATATACTTTAATGCTAATCGTATACATTAGTATTTAGTGACTGATTTATTTTCCAGTTCACAATGTATTATGTTGAGTTGTTTTGATTTGTAATTGTATGACTGACGCTTTATTATTCAAAGCATGCGTAGTATATTCTTTGAGTATTTGGTGTATTGTATATCTGTGACTGGTTCTATATCAGACTGGCAACATCTGTAGCCTGTTCTTGATTGATGGAATATTACAATAAACTGAAACTGAAACTGCAAATAATTAAGTTGTATTTTAAGTAATAATATCTTACATGCAATAAACATTCCAAATTCAAAATACTATACATTTTGCTGTAATACTTCAAGACTTTGCTTCATCTCTGGTTATATGCACCTACACTGACATCACAGTCCAGTATCCATACTACAACATCATATCTTAAAATGGTCCCAAACTGCACAGCCATTTTAATGGTTGCCAGGCTCCATATTTATGGCCTAATTTTTTTTAAGTGCCTATCCAGAATATATGTCTGCAAATGGAGATGAAAGTATTCAGAGAAAGGCAAACATTATCATTCAGGGACTCAAAAAGGTTAATATACAAATAATTTAATTACACATAGACTGTTTTAATATAGTATTTTATTATAGTTTAAATTTTAGGACACTGTATTTAAACTCCCAGCATAATAGTTGACAGCCTGGGTTCTAAATTCCCTTGAATATCTGATATGCAGTGGTAAAAAGCTATCCCTGTAACAAGCTGTGAAGGCCCACAGGATTGTGAGACATCAAGGATCCCACATTTTCTCTAGACAATTGGCGCACGGATAGTGGTGAGGTTGTCAGCCTGACACGCCAGCCACCCTTTACCCCCCTGGAAGATTCCTAGTACTCATTTCTGTTAGAGGCTGAGTTGAACCCAGGTTCATAGTGTGGCTGGGAGGATTAGGTAAATTTAAAAATTCTACCTCATGGGGACTTGAACCCGTGACCTTCCAGCTTGTAGCATAGTGCCTCAACCGATTATGCTACTGTGGAAATGCAGTGGTTCAGAAAATAAATTGTATTCATAGCATTCATTAAGCTATAAGATCCAGAAAAATATAGACTCTTAAAACTGAAATCAGACTATAAAATCTGAATCCTACACCAGTATACAATTCTGCTGAGAAAGATTAATAATGGCCAGGAAATCACACTGGAACTTAGGGACTGGACAAATATGAAGCATAAGAAATACTGGAGATTCTTGCCTGGACTCAGGCAAGCAAAGGGACNAAAATCAGACTATAAAATCTGAATCCTACACCAGTATACAATTCTGATGAGAAAGATTAATAATGGCCAGGAAATCACACTTGAACTGTGTAAGACTAGGGACTGGACAAATATGAAGCACAAGAAATACTGGAGATTCTTGCCTGGACTCAGGCAAGCAAAGGGACTCATATGAGGACCCTCTGCTAAAAGAGCGAAGGAACTGTTGAAGTTAAACAGGAACCAGCTACGATGGGTGGTGGCACTACTTAAAGGACACTGTCACCTCAAAGGACACCTGTTCAAATAGGGACTAAGTGATAGTCCCACTTGTGAGAGGTGCCAAGAAGAAAATGAAACAGCCACACATATCCTGTGGGAATGTGAGGCCTTAGCTTATTTAAGATTACATCACTTGGGTCAATACTTTATGGAACCAAGTGACATGCCCCCCATGTACGAAATCCTGCGCTTCATTCGAAGTGCAGGATTGCTGAAGGGATAATAAAAAGAGGAAGCACAATAGATCACTGTAGGTAGGGGTGCAAGGGCCGAGAAGGCCCACCCCTTATACATTCATTCATTCATCTATAATACATACATTTCCAATCTCGAAGTTTTGTCTCATAAGAAGATACAGTGAAGCAGAGGCCTGTGAACGGACACTGCTCATGCTGGAGCTGCAGTGTTTGAGAAGACGCAAGCAAAGATCTGCACACTGTTCAGTTTCTTCATCAAACAGCAGATTTGGAAACTGAAAACAAAATCATATGTCATGTTTCTAATAATGTAAAGTTGTCCTTGGGCCTGTCTTTGCTCGCTTGGAAGCTGGGATCGTGGGTTTGAATCCCACGCAGAGCATGGATATTTAATGTTTGTCTGTGCGCGCGCTTGCATTTTTCTGTGATTGTGTACAGATATAGGCCTTGTGATGAGCTGATCACCTGCCCAAGGAGTCCTACCAAATGTCTAAGATCTAGTAAATCGAAGTGAAACAAAGAGTTTCATGGAGGTAGGCCAAGGGCCCAAATTGGGGCTCTAGCGCCGCCAAAGAAAAAAAAGTTGTCCGTCATTAATTAATCAAGGCATATGGCATATGGAGGAGAACAGGTACAACTCAACCACTAGTGCTTCTCATAAAAAGTATAAGAAAAAAGTAAAGCTATATCTGTAACAGGCCGTGAAGGCCCACATTATCTAGACAATCGGCTCATAGATGGCGATAAGGTTGTCAGCCTTAGGCGCCGGTCGCGCTTTACTTCCCAGGAATATTATTTATTTAATTCCTGGTACTCATTTCTGTTAGAGGCTGAGTCGACCTCAGGGCCACAGTGCAGCTGGAAGGATTAGGTCAACTGAAAAAAATCCATTGACCTCATCGGGACTTGAACCCGCGACCTTCTGGCTTGTGGCATAGCCCCTCAACCAACTACGCTACCACGTGCAACACTGATGTTTCTCATACAAACAAAAATAGTTTTCAGCAACCTACCTTGAACACAAGAGATCGCTGTGTGGCAAACATGTTCTGAAGCACACATGTGCTTTGGTTTCGCCCAAGTGCATGCAGCAGCACTTTCAGAACAACACCCAGCAGGCTCTGTAAGTTGTCTAGCTGGGATGCTACCTGCAATTCAATTAATCCTCTCATGAGTCAAGCCATTTTCAAAATGCTCTGCATGACATGCCGTATTCTAAGACTAATCTACACCAGTCTGCAGATTATACATAGAACACAGTTTACAAGTGCCATTTAAATTTATGGTTACAGAGTACCAGGATGCAGAGAATTTAAACAGCATACCAAAAGGTTTAAACCATCATCATCATCATCATCATCAGGTCCACAGTCTCTTCCAAAACAGTTTCTCCACTTAATGCGATCTTCTGTTTTTGGAAAGAGACTATCCAGGAAAGTGATAATGTGGTAGTTTTTCCATTTGCTTTCCACATTTTAAACCATATCTACACAAAAAGAGAATATGGATCCCAACTCTTCATTCTCCGCACATCACATACGCTTCTGTGTGACTGCTCTTCTGCCACACAAGAAAAGCTAATCGGGTTTTTCTCTGTGAATGTCAAAAGTCAATCCATACCTCCTTCCTACTTCTCAGACATACTTATGCTTCTTTGTAAAACTAAGGACATCTATTTCATAATCATAATTAGAACTGGATATTGTTTAACTTAAACAACAACAAGCACAATTAGGAAAAAAATGATCAACTCCTGTTCATTGGCCATATGACACAATACACAACAAAATAAGTCACTGGACTGAAAAGGAAATTCAAATTACACCATGTGATAGACGCTGGCTAAAATCTGATGACACTCAACCTTGAAGACATTAAGTCATTCTAAATGCGGTAAAGAAAGTAATCACTTAGTGCAAAAATGTAAATTTTTGATGTCAGCCAATGCTGTCTGATCATGCAATAGCACAGCTCTGCGCATACCAAACATTTCTTCCTTAAGACTGAATAAATTCTCCACTCAGACATACAGACACTTAGATTCCATTACTGGAAGAACCAACAGAAAATGCTTTACTCCATTTCCATTGTACATTCTTGTAATTAATTAATCAATATTATAAAGTCTTAAGACATGAATAATTAGACTTAAATTGTGCAGGAACAGAAGGTATGTGTGAACAGAGATACATAACCATCATAGCTGTAAATTTTATTAAGACTTTTACCTGAACAATCCTTTCTAATGTGTCTAATATGATAAAGCTAACTTCTGTTGCAAGATTGCCTTCAATGTGTGCATCTGTCTCAATCTCAGCTCGTGGACGCTCAGGAAGTTCAGAGCTTGGACGGTACGCCATCTGTTCCTTCCTCCAGCGTAAACGATCTCCAGGCCAACCAGGAGATGGTGGATTTCGTTCTAAAGTAAGTAACAACAAAATATCAAGTATTATCATATTAATCAGTTTTCCCGTATGTTTTGTGGTGTGGTATGTATTTGAGAATATCATGACAAATTCTGTATCCTTATTTTGGATTTTGAATGAAATAAAATAATAATAAACATAATACAATTAGGATAACAACTGATGTTCCTGATTTTGTTACAGATTGTAGGTAATAGCACTTTATTGTTGCATGTGACGGTTTNCTAAATATCCACTGCCAGTGACAAAAATAGTATTTTTGTTTGAAATTTCTTTGAGATAAAAATGAATATATCTGTGCCAGACTTCATTTTGAAGTAGGTGACAGCATTTAAGAAAATTTACAAAGGCAGAAAAAGAGATGGTTAGAAATCGTAACAGATCATTGAGAAAATGGTGTAGATACAACAGAAGGAACAAAAAACAAAAATAAATAAATGCATCTGATTATAACCTTTATAAACTTCCATAAACATTCTGATATTAATATACTCCACAATGAATCATTTTCAAGACTGTTATGGGGGGCTGGAGGGAGTGTGACTGGGCTTCATACAGGCATAGTATAGCTGAAGTTTCCATACAGTAAGAAACTGATGATCAGTAACATTTAAGCCCTGTGGCTACTCCACCATTCATTTCAACTTCACTGTTTATACAGTGTGCTAACCATTATGAATGATGAATTGGGAATGATTTAAGAGGAAGTAGTTGTGGCCCATTTCAAAGTACTGTCCTGGTATCTCTAGAGAAAAACGTAAGAAAAGCAATGAAACCTCAGCAAGGATATCTGATGCTCAATCCTAGACTTAAAATGGGTATGTTCCAAACAAGTTAGCCACATTACTTTCAAACTAAACTGCTCAGTTTTATTCAGGCTGTAATCACGTTGCTCCAAATTCTGGTGCCACTCCAGGTATGAAAGTAGCTATACCAAGAGGTCCAGCACAGCAGGAATCTGTTCATATGCTATTTTTAAAACACTGTTGTTTCTAAACTACAAATTAAGATGATCTTAACAGTATCACCTTTGCGTCGCATCATCATTTCACTTCGAGCAGAGCCCTGCCCCAGTATCACATCTTCTAAACGAGACTTTATGTCAGTTGTTTTATGAAAGTTCTGTTGTGCACAACGTTTAATTGCCGTCTTTCCCTGAAACATAAAAAACAGAATATTTTAAGAATTATATGTATGCTATAATTTATGACTAGCAGCCATTATATATAATGTAAGCATCAGACATGTGCTAGCCTCAAATTTTCAAGATTAAATTGAGAACTTTCTCTATGACAACCTGATCATCAATTTTTCAGTCCTTAACTTAAAGAATTTACTGATAATTGATTTTACTGTACACAATGGGGTCATGTTAAAATGGATCAGTACTGCATTTACCAAATTAAAGAGTCTCTTGGCCTATTTTAAGGGCTGAAAAATATAGGTCACTGCCATAAATTTGAAATGATATATATATATACTGATGTAAGAGTAACAAGCAAGAAAATGAGGAAGACAGAAATATATTTCAAAGTCAAAACTTGCAAGCTGCCATGAGGTTGCCCAAAGTACCATCAAAGTTAAGAAACCAAAGCTGCAATACATCGGTTTCTGACTTCACGAAATTGTGTGTCAATGCAAAGGTCACTTGACGTAAAAATCACAGATAATGTCGAGGAAAAAGTACTAGTGTGAACAGGAATAATACACCAAGAAGTGTTAAGGGCTGCAGTTATGTGTCTAACAAATCCAATTACCAAGCCAAACTCCATGTCTAGTCACTAACAAGTGAATATATTAATGGCAGATGCAGAAAGAAAATGGGAGGCTGCACAGCATGGTATGTATTACAAAAATATGATCTGCTTGAACAAATTCAATATGGTTTTAATACAAAATATACAATATTTGCCTCTTACATGATCTATTACAGAAAATGCTACAGAAGAAGGAATTACCTGTACAAATCCTACCTTATATTCAAAGCATGAGATGCAGATGTTAAGCAACTCCAGAAGCTGGTGTAACCTTTGGGAGGGCAGCTCAGTCCACCACTGCTTCAACATGGTCTTATCCACATTCTTAATAATCCAAAGGAAACATATAAGCAGGTTGCGTGTTGTCTCACTGCTCAGACCATACTTACGGTTCTGAAATCAAATTAATAAAGGCACAGTTCACACAATTTTGCATCTCACAGTATACTCCCAACTTACATTGGATAAGTACACAAACTACATGAATTTTATACTAATTTGAGTGCTGAAGGAAGGCAGACAAACTATTCAAATCTGCTTAATAAACTCAGTAAATGTTATGTGGTTAGACAGCTTCCTGTAATACATTATTTACTCTCCAAGTGAACTGGATTTAAATTCACAGTTGTCCAACTGTCTGATAATCCACCTCTTGAAGACATGCTTTCATTATCAGCGTTGTTTCATTTATTCTGACATTCACAAGTATTACACTAAAGGAAAACAGGATTTGTATGTACAAACATGCAACACTGTTCATTGCAAAATAAGTGTAATTAACATGGGAATTAAAATACATAACAGCTTGCCCCCTTAATTAAAAATAATAGAAAATTTCTAAGTTTTAAAAATAAATTAAAAGCATATTTATTACAAAACTGATTTTATTCTCTGCAAGAGCTCTTTAATAACAATGATGGATGGTAGTTTGATGGTTCAGGTTGGTTCTGATGTGGTGTGGATGTATATAGATGGTGTAAGTGTATGTGTTGCTTTATATTGGATTGTTGGGGATGTCATCCTCGGTTGCTAGCTTCAGCAGGGGGACACTGATTCTAAGATGATTTGATTGTTCTTAGTTTTGTGTATCATTTTGTATATTTTTAAGAGTTGTTGACTTGTAGTGTTTTAGATGGCTTAAACTGACTTGTCCAATTGTACTTGTGTAACAGTTTATGGATGTAAATAAATTATGAATTATACATCTGAAACCTTGAAACCAATAAACATTCTGCTTCCTTGTTGTTACTCTTTCTTATCAACTGGATAAATTTTTAAATGTTTTACCTGTTGGAAAGATGGATATGTCTCAGTGCCACTTGCTTTCTGCCCAAATGTTGATGTTCCAGCTATTGCCATAGCCACTGACTGGTTGATTCCACTCTGTGGCTCCGTATCGTCCAGAGTTGGTGCAAACAGCGTCTGGCCTGCAATTTCAGTTGAGTTTCATTTCACATTCTCTAAGACTTAGTCCACACATGAAGGCATCTGCACACACAAATTGCAAATAAATTCTAGCTGACACTAGTATGGTACTTGGCATAGCAATGAACACAGAGTTCAATGATGTTTCAACTGTAGAGGTTAAATACAGGAAATACGGAGGGACTTTTAATATGAAAAAATGGTGGTGTGAGAACTGAAAGACAATGGCATTATAAAGAGGAAGCTCTTCACAAAGCTAAACATGCCCCCCCCGCACAAAAAAAACCTATGAGGATTTTACGGCAGTGTTTGTCCACACTGTATGTAGTCTTCTTGGTTGTCATGACATGTAGTCAGCCTGAAACTTGAGGCAATATGCACCTTTGAAATGATGGTACATTCCTAGTAAACTGTGACATAACCCAGGAGACCACTAGTAATCGTTTTGGAACAAACACAAGAAAACTGCCTCAGAGGGATTCTGTATAATAAGAGTACACATTAATTAACCAAGCAATGAACACCAGAACACTTAGCAGTTACTCAAGTCTGAAGTGGATTAAGCTGTTTCAGCATAGGACAGAATAGCAGGCTATGATTCTGGGATTCACTGTCAGACAGTTAATGTGTCAGTGAGTAAATCAGTTCCTCTACCTCTAGTTTCCATCTGATATCCATGCAACTGTGGCAGCACATCCATAATGATGCCCAGTAAGGGCAGATACAGAGCAGCCACTCGAGCTCTGCATTCTGGTTCAGCATAACGCGGATCACAGTCATGACACGTCATCAGGTTACGAACAAGATTAACAACCTTGTTATGTAGACTTGGGTTCCTATAACAAAAGACAAACTTGTAAATAACAAAATGAAAAATCACAATTAAATAACAACTTAAATATTTTTTATTGTAATGCAAATGCAGTTAACTAGAATCCTCAGATTGCTCCTTACAACAAATATTTACTTGATAATTAGGATTATAATTACATTACAACTTATATATTGTATAACCAAATGCATTAATGAATAAACAAATCACAAAGAAAGCACACTAACAGATTATATAAAGGTAGCAAACAACAGACAATAAACAACATGCAATCATAAAACTTGATTCAATAGAAACTTTAATACAATTAATCATACCAACAATATATATATATATATATAATCACATCAACATTCATGTGATGAAAATCTGATATGAAATTATTTGTATGCAAATAATTTTAATTCATAATATTAAAAATCACGTGTCATTTTAAATTTAACTTCAAATTTAATTTCAAACTGAAGCTGAAGACTCACCTCCAAGGAGTCCTGAGGTCAACAATATGTGGAACTATACAGCCACTCCCTCATATGGACCCATGGCATAGTGATAATGAGATTACCACAGCCACAACTTTCCCCCTTTTATAATAGTTACAAATTACTCAACATGTCATTATTTGCCAAAGTGGCTTGCACAAATTACACATAAGGCCTGATTATGAAAATAATTAGAGAGGTGAAAACACCTTAACAAATATAACATAACCGAGTTTACTACACATTTTTAGTTGTGAAGTTCTGTGATGGTATAGATATGATGGAATCCCCATTTTATTATGTTTCCCAAGTCAGTCACCATGACATTAAATTTCCTCCACTGAACACTTCCCTCATTTTAGTGTTTAAACTCAATCAAAAGAAAATGTATATGGAATTTTACTATACATAAATTTGTTATAAAATACCACAACATGGTGATCAAATATAATCTGTTAAAAACATTAAGATCCATTCATTAGATATGAAAATATGCAACCATTTATTTTTAAGGTACTGTCACTACACTCACCCCACAATTACATTTCACTTTAGGCATAGTTTAGCTGTGCTTCAAAAATAAAGATTTATTACATGTGATTCTTTTATACACGCTGAAAAATTCTATGACATTTATCTTGTACTTTCTGCTCTCTTCTGCAAATTATGTTTTTTGTGCATAACTTATTGCACATTATATGCCACGTTTTGTCAGCTTCAGTGCGGTTAAGACTGAATCACAAAATAATCATTAGAAAATATATGGTAAAACAAAATAATACACTCACTGAAGATCTAAAACTGTAGCAAGATCACTCAGCACAAGTCCAACTAAGAAATGCTGCTGTCTGAAATCTGCTGAAAGCTCAGCAAAGTTCACCTTATCGCCACCAACAAGTGTTGAGATGAATGATGACTGACTGGTTGATGAAGCAATAGAAGGACTGGGTGATGCAGGTGCAGAGCTGGGCATAAACGGAGTGCCAAATGGGAGATTCAAAGCCACAAAATGTTCGTGACTGCAAATAATTCGCAAGAAATCCAGCTGAAACCAACAACACATTTGCTATTACTCTGAATCAGATTTACAATGACTGACAGGGTTACTTCATAACCCTACATCAGCTGTTGAATGGGGCACACAGTAGTACAGTTGGTTAAGGCAATATTCTACAAGCTGGAAGGCTGATGGGTTCAATTCCCAGTGTCACTGAATTTTTCAATTGACCAAATCATTTCAGCTGCAACTATGGGTCCTGAGGTCAACTCACCCTCTAACGGAAATGAGTACCAGGAATCTTACAGGGGGTAAAGGGTACCCGGTGTGTAAGGGTGACAACCTAGGTCTTTTATCTGTATGGATATATGGAAAATAAAGAAATGAATGAATGACCCTCACTATCATCTGTCTATAAAATGTGTGCATGGGGGGGGGGGCCTCGATGTCTCTGAACCCTATGGGCCTCCGCAGCCCATTACAGGGATAGCTTTACCTTTTTTCTTTTAACTTACCTTTACATCGGCTGTTGAACAGACTATAATTTTATAATCCAGTTACTCAAATGAAGCTATTTCAGAATTATATATAGGGGCCCTGCTACAGGGTATATTTCCGAACATTCTCTTGCAGGATGGCAAAATGTTATCATTATAAACTATTGCTATACTAGGGGGTACAGATGGCATATTTTTTATATGTAAAGTCTGCATTCTCAACTGTAAACATCACTTAATTCAAAACATAAAAATATAAGGCAAAACAAAACAAAATTTCATACACCTTCTGATACACACATCAGTAAAATATGTCAACTGTCATACAGCATTATAGCAAATAAGATAATATTATATTATCAGAAAGTGAGAATTTAGTAAACAATGTGAGCTTAAAATTTCAAGTAATATTATTTTCACACAGACATGACTATCAGATCTTCCATATTCTTTCACAACAATGAACATTAATTGCTGATATAAAGAAAACTGTTAGCAAAGAAAAATTAAAACTTGTATGTGGTCTTAACATTTCTTCACTAGAAAAGGTGAGCATGCATTATACAAATGTTAACATTATCTTACTAACAGAATAACAAACCATACCAACGAGGATGAAGGGCAGAGGGAAAAAATTAAGCTATTAACTTGAACAAAAGTAAGAAAAAGGCAGAAAAGTACTAACTCAGTCCAGATTAATACTATAAAATTTCTCTCACATTTTTGTGCAGGACTAATTCTGTAAATTGTACACCAGTTAAAGTCTGAGAACAAACATACTGAAATTGTACGAGGTATAGTAACTGTGTTCATGGACAAGAGACTGAATGGTCCTTGAAACTGTTACTGATAACAAGAATCTCAATTCCTTGGCATGCACCAAGAATCAGATGGCTGTACCACAGCTCAGGTGGTTAGCCGCCGGCTTCCCACTGTGGCAGCCTGGGTTTGTGCCCAGGTCAGGTCATGTGGGATTTGTGGTGGACAAAGTGGCACTGAGGAAGGTTTCCTTCAAGTACTTCAATTTCTCCTGCCAATTCTCATTCCACCAACTGATCCATACATACATCATCATCTATCATCCGGGGCTGGTAAAATAGGCCAAATAGTGGCCGACATACCAAGTGGACTCAGTCTCACCCCACCCCCAGGGGGGGGAAACGAACAAGAAACCTAAGAATCAGTCAAATTATTTCAGCATATGAAACAGTACACCTTATAATATTCACTAATTACTACTAACCTTGAGACTGATGAGACTGATAGCATCTGGCAATGATGAAATCTTTGCTGATATTTGTTTGCAGTACATTCTTATAAGGGAGAATACATAGCCACGGTCCATGATAGAAAGGAGATCGAACAGAAAGAATCCCAGGCTTGAATTAAGGTTCTGAGTTAGCTATAAAGAAAACCATGTACTGAATTATTTTTCCAAAAATTACACTTATTTACAGACTTTATCTCTGCAAACAATTTTCATTATTCCTACCTCAAATTGCTGTGGCCATGTGAGAACAAGTACGGCATATAATGACTACTACCTAATAGTTATGAAAGCTACTAGAACAGTAAATTTCTCACCACTTTTCATATGTAAAATACCACCGATTAACCCTTCAAAGCAGGGGCACCTAATCAGCAATCTACAGCATGATGCAGGGGCATTATTTAAGGATATTTAAATTTTGCTGTAGGAAGTGTAAAAATTTTCAATTGAAATATTTTTCATGATTTTCTTTCAATTTAAATTAAATGTGTAATGTTAAATCCCTACTTGCTCCAAATTACATATATGCATTTTACAACACCTCGGTAATTTCTGTTTGTGTGGTAGACCTAAAAACACCCATCGTTGCACAGAATAACACCAAAGTCCTGAAAATAGTAAAGTCTCCCTTCTTCAGTCATGTTATATTTTAGCGTCCTGTTGCACTGATTCATGTCCCAAATGATCAACAATGAAAATATCTTGTTGTGGCAGTCTGGAATTTTAATTTAGACAGATTTTGAACAATTTCTGTGGTCTTATCATTGGAATTGTCTAAGAAATGCAGAAATCTGCAGGTGCTTTCAAATCTGCCCAAGGAAATGACAGAACCAAAAGTGGGAATGGCTACCAGCTCATTTGGTGAGAAGTACTGTCTCAGACTGGGCTTTTGTAACAATCCCCACAAGCATGAGAGGTCCCAGGATAGTTGATACTTCTTCTACTGTCATAGGCAGCCAATCATTTACTCTGGAACACTTGTAAAAAACATTTAGCTCTAGATTTTTTAACTTTTGTGCATAGCGAACGGTCTCATCCCCAATTCACTGTACCAGATCCTTATCAAAAAATAATGCATGGCATAGTGCTTAATTAATTAAGCACACAGAGACAACTTTATCTTTCATTTTCAGTATAAAGTGTTGACTTAAAGGAAATGCTAATTCATTCATTCATTCATTCATTCATTCACCTTAGCATACCTACTGTATCAGCCCCAGATATCTGAAGTAATCGTTGCAACCAAAGTTGTGGCATCATCAGTAAACTGTTGTGAGAAGCGCATTTTTCGGGGGACATCCAGACTTTGCGTGGCATCAAGATGCTCTACCATACTTTTTACCATAAGCTCTAAGAGGAACCTGTAGGAAAACAAAACATATCTGACATTATTATCCACCAGTTTCCTGTCATTTGTTACAGCCAAATGAATATGGTCCACAGAAATAGCATCAACTTATTATTTTGAATACATATATGTAATTTTATGCCATCTAACGTCATAATATACAATACAGTGAACTAGCTACAACACAGTAACAAACTCAAAATACCAATTTAACACTATATAATTTTGTTCATGCTGAAATGAAGAATGCACAGATACAAACCATGAATTTGCCATTGCAAGCTCTCTAGCTGAACCACTTGATACCACCCACTGAAGTGCCAGTTCTTCATGTACAATCTTATGTGGTAACTGCAGTTTGGACAGCTGGTATAAAATATTTTCTTGACTGGGTCCTATGTGTGGAAAAAGATGTTACATTAAAAATGTGCATAAATATTTCTTGAAAAACAAAAAGCAATTTCTTACAGTAAAGCCAAAATGAAGTGAGTATAGCCCATAATGAAACTATAAAATATTCAAATAAAAGAAAGTGCGACCAACCTGATGATATTACGCTTATATAAAATAATTAAGACAGCAAGGAGTTTTTACCGAAACTTCACTGTGACTATTAGCCTGATCCAACATTTTTAAATTAAAGTTTCTTTAAAAAACACCAACACAGAAACGAGTCACTATATTAATGTGTCCTATGGCTGAAGTTGAACACTGTTACTGGATTTGGTTCCTGAAGATGACAGTGACACCTTCACAGATTTCTTGGTTCAGAGGCTGTTCAAAAATGCTAGATCAACTGCAAGCCTGCATGGACACAAATGGAAGAGGAAGGTCATGTATGTTCTGCCCTCATAAAGAAGATACTTCAGTATTAAACACATATACCCATATAAAGCTGCTAGCTCATAAAAAGTGGTGATACAAATTGTCTACTTCCATAATTTCACTTAAACTGACCTAAAAAGGGAAAGATATGTAAAATTAACACTGAATATTAGCACTTACCCCCATTTTCCACACCTCAAGCATGAGCAAAACAGACAGATCATACATAAATTTTACTACCATTAATACTCATCATAAAAAGGCAGCCATAATGTAATACTTCTTACGTAACAGACTTGTAGTACAGCTTTCTAATAATAGTGTACAAGTGTCTAAAAAAGGCTGAAACTACTAAAATCACTACATATATATATTTTTTTTTTCTTTCTTTTTATTGCTAGTGGGGTGGGAATAAGTCCCTTATACTGTGGCCACTTCTGACCTACTGTATCAGCCCCAGATGATAGGTGAGGGTGATTGTGGAGCAATTGGTGGAATGAAGATTGGCAGGGGAAATCGAAGTACTCCAGGATTGAACCCGGGCCGCCGCGGTGGAAAGCCAGTGACTAACCACTTGAGCTATGGCGCAGCCAAAATCACTATATAAATGGAACGTATTTTCTATCATTTCTGGGTGAAAGTAAAATGTTATATGGCCCTTTTATATCTGCCACTCAAAGACTATGTCCTTTGCCTTTGTTTACATCTCATTCTTTGATATATCTGAAACCAAATCATTAAGTTACAAGCCCTGCACTGTGCCATTTCAATCCACTACATCGCACACACTACACATTACATTCTACTATGTTTAGTATAGCACAGGCCATTTAATTATATTACAGTTCACTGCATTCAGTGTGAAGAAACATTCAACTTAATTTTAAAATTACAAACTAATTATGATTTCTGCATAGACTGATTACTGAATGTGAAATTTGTGGCTACTGAAATGAGAAAATTAGACCATATTCACACACAATACAGTTTTGTTATTCTGCTTTCGATTAGAAAAATAAACAGTGTCAGTTTCTTTAGAACGCAATGAATCAAATAAGAAATACTTGAGGAATCAGGAAGAAAGGAAAAGGCATCAAAATTGAAGTTCCATAACAGAAGGAAGTATCAGGTATGTTAATTACAATTGATATACATTACATGCATGGAAACTACAGTATATTTTCATCTCTTTTCTACACTGCTTCATCCGGGAATCAGTAGCAATAGCTCACTCTGAACATTCTCACCATGTCACAATCACTCTTCAAACAATAGTGTACTGTGTAAGATTTGAGGCTTCCACGGCAGTGACTATGAAGGAAGCAGTCTTCTGGGATTTGGCACCGTGTATATGTGGTGTTAACTGACGTTTCGGAGGAACGTATCGCCTCTATCTTCAGGGTAGAAGGAAAAATATAAGAAATCTGCAAGCGAAGAGACCGTGAGAACTGGTAAAAGCAGTGCCATATCCCAGAAGACTGCTTTCTTCATAGTGTACCGGATATACAGCGCACATGATCTTACAGGTTCACACCATACTGCACTCCATGCTCTAATATTCTATCACTTCACAACTTACTGTATCTTTACCTTACATGCAGTACAGTTTTCATTCACTTCAATAAAGAAAATATCCTTACATTTCAAAATGTACACAAACAGAAGCAGGGAAAAAGGGGAGGGAAGAGAATGAAATAAAGGAAGAAAAATAATTAAACAAAGAAGAAAATAGATAAAACTATATTTAAAAAATGAAGAAATTCAGCAAGGAGAAATACGATACAATGTATGTGTGGTAACAACGTCAATATACCCTGTGCACAATAAACAGCAAAGGATAAAAATATTCCAGATTACAAAACACATAAGCATTTTGTTCTGTAATATAAGAAATATGAGCACAAGACAGCATAAACTAAGTTAACATAACATAGTCACAGCTACTGACAGGATCATTACATAAATAAATAAGTAAATAAACAATAAATAAATAACAAATATGAAAAAATAAAACATAAGTAAAGAGATTAATCTATATCTGGCAATTGTTAATAAACTTTAAAAGCTCAAAGCAATGTACATTTTTACAAGAGTCTGTTCCCACCCCTTTCCTGTATAGAGAAATGTCGACACCCATGTCAGTTTTTATGACTGGAACACGTTCTGTTTGAGATGCTGATCAACACACAAGTAATTCTAAATGGCACATACTGTACCTGTTCTCATGCTACATGTGCGATCTAAGCCACGAGCCAGTGTGTTTATTTCTTCATCCTCATCACCAACTGTATGCATATCTGGGTTGCTACTGCTCCTGCACATTAGAGTCATTACACAATAATAATTACTAGTAATGGAATGAAGACACAAAAGCACATGATGAGGATGCAGGAACAAATAAGCAGGAATATTCAAGAACCTCTGACATTGACCAAACTTGTCAAGGGATTTCATAAGGTTCAAAAGGTCACTATACATATTATTCCAATGTTTCTAGTCACCCAACAAATAACAACAATCTCTAAGTTAATAGACTTTAAAAGTATCTGACAAGGGTGTATGCTGTACAGAACTATAAGATTTATTTTGGACTCTATCCATCGTCTGGGAAGGGGATCCCTTCCAACACCTGTTATAAATCATGGTAAGTTTGTCATCTTTTTACAGTATTCCGATAAATGTGTGCATGTACAGAAACTGATGCAAGGGAATCTGCAACATGACTGCACTCTCGCTAGCGGGGAAGGGCACAGTAGCTGCGGGGAAATGATCCATCTGCTCTACACTAGTGAGAGTGTGCATGTTTATCAGCGCTAATTACTCATTCTGCTATCAGCAGTTACAGCAGCAATCTGTGAGAAATACTGTATCCGACCCATGCTGCTACCAGGTTTCCTCGATGATTGAATGCCCTGTATATATCCAACATAACATGATGCTCTAATACAGTATTCTGAATCAATATTTATTGACACATAACAGCTAAATCTGAAATCCAAACTCTGTGAGAGGTCTAATGCATAGCTGAACTATTTACAGAGAAAATGTGAGGTATAAAACAACTATCTGTTTATACCTGATGTGAGACTGCGATTAGCTTACTAAATGCATTTAAATGTACCTTAGATGCCTGCCACGAGAGGGTGGGATGTAAGTTGAACGTGGCACGAAACCAGGGCTTTGTGGAGGAGAGATACTGTTCAGCGGATGGCCGCCAACTGGGCGAGGCAATATGCACTGATATGTAACAAATGTTGTCAGTAAACTATGGCGACCATGTTGATCATGATGTCCCTCCTGCAAAGCCTGAAATGAAAGCCAAGTCCCTCCTTACCTGCATGCTAATATACCAGGATATAACACTTAAAGAAGTACAATGAAACCTGAATTTTACATTCCTTAAATCTATGCCTTCCCTGAGACTATACATATTTACACTGGTCCCACTGAAATTTCTACAAGAACAATGTCAAATTTTCTTGGAATATACATTTGTGTTTTCTACACAGTTCCTTGAGTATACATTCAAATTAGACATAAAATGCCCTACTGCTGTTTCTTTAAGTGCATTAAATTCGATATCAGGAAAAAAATTTGATTTTCAGATATCGTTTACTATCTCCTCTATCGTCTTTGCATATATTTACTATTCTATGGCTCAATGATTGCACCAGTAGAGAAGAGCCATGTTTCTTACCGTTGCTGAGCTCATGTTGTGACAAAAGATGTGAGATGCAAGTTACAAGTGACCACAAATTCCATGTGCTTATTAAATCCGTGTTAGTGTTGCTTTTTGAATCTACTACAAACTGAAATAGCAAATAGTTTTGTTATCTGGATACAATTTGTTGTAAGTGACCACAAGTTCCAGCATTTATTACGTTGCTGTGTTAGTAGTTTTATTTTAATTTCTGGTTGTGATTCATTTTCCATCACTGTGAGTGAACCAAAGAAGAAAGCATTCTCTATTCAAGAATAAATGGTCATTCTAGCCCAAGTGGATGCTAATAAGAAGACATGTATTGCACTGGCTACAGATAACGAACTGTATTGCCAACACTGAACACTACTGATGAAAGTAGGAAAGATGCCAAAAAGTGTTACGAACAACGTGGCAGGTTCTCTGGTCAAAGGATCTGTACAAGGCATCATTCCATCTTTCATTTTAGAAGTCAGAAGAACAATAATTTGCCAAATTATCATCTCCCTCGAGGCAAAGACCATCTCTGAAATAAATCTAATCAGACATAGAGAATAAGCATTACACTTACAGTAACATTCCTGACGAGCATAGCTATTGCTTCAAATGCAGTCTGTCCAATGTTCATCACTTGGCCAAGAACTGAAGGGGGTTTAACCATCAACAATATTAACTTGTTTAAGATGAGTGGTAAGAACTTCACCAATGGTTCTGGCTTTGCATGATTCAAGTCCAGTATACTGAAAAATAAGAAAGTAACTTCAAGTGAGCATATACACCCCTAAGATACAGTGCTCATTCAGTGTGCTAAGCAGAACAGAGATTTGTTGTTGTGTTTTTCCGATCTGGATTTGAGCTTCAGCAGCCAACATGCATGATGAACTCCTTCCTTCAGCATGTAACAGAAATAAATATTGAACTTTAGCTGCGTGACAACAAGTGCAAGGACCTGTCCGCATCACAAAAGTCAGCATTCGCAACTGCCATACTTTTCTGCCTAAGGACACCAGTAAATAGGGAGCTGGGATACGTCAGTCGGTATAGTGACAGGCTATGGGTTGGATGGCTGGGGTTCAATTCCCTATTTTTCTCTTCTCCACAGGGCCCACCCAGCTTCCTATAAAATGGGTGTCAGGGGGCTCTCCCCTGAGGTAAAGTGGCCAGGGGGAGGAACCTGACCACTCACCTCCATCTAGTGCTGAGGTCAAGAATGGTTTAATTAAGTACAGGGACAACTTTGCCTGTTATACCAATAAACATACATGATAATAACACCCTCACTGCCATAGCAACATTCTGCCAAGAATAAACACATTTAAAATAATCGCATATGCAGAGAAGTGGAAATCTGGACCAGTGCTATTGAAGTTTCAAATTAAAAATTAAAAAATAATCAAATAAAAAAAATCAGTGAAATCCCCATTTAAAGTTTCTTTGGGGCGGTGGCAGATTTAAACATTACTGAGGAAAATCTTAAATGGAAGCAAGTTAACACTGAGAATATGAACTTGGGATCACTGAAACTGAATGATAAATGAATGAAAACATTTAAATCAAGGATCACTAAATGGGGGTTCCACTGCATGCTCACAGTTCTCAACTGCATTACCAAAGTGAACTCAATACAAAATCACATTCATCCATTAGAAAAATGACTGTACCTTCTCTGCTAAAATGCAACCACTCAACATTCTTCAAATTCTACTCTACAGAATCAAACTGTTCGCTCTTTTAGATCGCTGTCTTCTGCGTCATGACACCATTCGGTCTGGCAGACGGGTACCAACGTAATGGAGGAACATACCGCCCCCAAACTTGAGACCAGATATACCATGAACTACCCTGAAGCTAAAGACAGTGTTCAAACTACGATAACCAGCTAACAGATTGCAGTGACAACGCAAAAGACCACGCTCAAAATCCTCAATACCATGTAAATCTCACATCTTATATTCTTTAATATTTTTACTTTCATTCATATGGATGTGTTCCAACAAACAAACAATCTTATTATTATTATTATTTTGAGGGGGTGGGTTACCCCATGCACTGCGACCATTTATTGATCTACTGTGCATCCCCCTTTTTAATTATTCTAACTAGTCGCCATGCCCTTCCAGTACTGGTGCTTGCTATAAGCCCCGTTCTGCCAGTGAGGTCGGCCCTCTCCGGTAGTGGTCCCCGATACTTCCCCATTTACCGGAGGAATTGGAAACTACTTGGGCGGGAAACTGCCTAATTTTGCTCAGAGGTCTCCTAGAGACATGAGGATCTTTTACATGCCGTAAATCTATAACACAGGACTCCTCCCAGAGGACCTGTTCCCTGAATTTTCCCCCCTTAAAAATTCCACCCGCATACCTTGAGTCATGAGGCAGGAACGTTACCCCTAGACTACGGAGGCTGCTGAGCCAAGTATATAAGTGGCATCTCCATTTAAAGATACTTGTGTTTAGGATAATGGTATCCTATTAATCTTGAGTTTACTTTCCCCACTTAACATTGAATTTATTCAAGTCTGGGGCCAATAACCTCAGGGTCACACTTCTTTATAAAATTGTAACCAATTAATTCTTGCCTACGCGGAATATTAAGTGATGTAGCAGTGTATATACACCTTATGGGACAAAATACAATCATCATGACAGTGTTCTCTACAGCACTAATTAAACAGAGGAGTACCTTACCTAGCTTTCAACTCAGACTCCATGTTTGCTTCTCCAATGCGTGCTGGGATGTTCCCCTCTTCCAGGACAGTATTCAGGCTCAAGAAGCGGTCAAGGAATTTGTCCTGCATCACACATACTTCCACATACAACCCAGTTTTCTTAATGCATTTCATCTTAACATAACAGAAGGGAAGCAGAGAGAGATTCTAAATACATACAGCCACTGCTTCATACACTTACATGTATAAAAGTAAAAGGTAAAGTTATCCCTGCACCAGACCGTGAAAGCCCATGGGGTTGTGACATGTCAAGGCTTCCACATTTTCTTTAGACAACTGGCTCACAGATGGCGATTAGGTTGTCAGCCTTAATCACTGGCAACCCTTTACCTCCAGGAAGATTCCTGGTACTCATTTCTGTTAGAGGCTAAGTTGAGCCCAGAGCCATAGTGCTGATGGAAGGATTAGGTTAACTGAAAAAAATCCAAGTCATCAGGACTCGAACCTGTGACTTTCCAGCTTGTAGCATAGTGCCTCAACGTACTATGCTACCACATGCACGCCGCTTACATGTATACACCATGATAAACACAAAACAAAGGAGAAGCAGCTCACTTCTGCAGGCACAATAGTGTCTCCACACATTCCTGCTCTATACTAGGCATCTGTTACTCCCACATAGGAGAGTCACACTGGCCCTATCAGTTATGAAAAAGGCTATAGGTGGGATGGTCGAGGTTCCAATCCTTGCTGGGACATTATTCTTTTATTCTTCAGCAACAAACACAGAAAATCATAAAATTCTTAAATGCAGTCACATTACATTACTATCAGATACAACCTCAAGTATAACACATACAACTCACAAAAATAAAAAGTCATAACAGTGACAACACAGTAACTTGACCTACATTTCAAATAATTCATGATAACTTCACAACTACTCTTAGAGTAGGTCAGGACATACAGATAGAGAAAATATGTTTTAAGCAATGACATTATCCTCTTATATACCAATTGCCTTACAGAAAAGCTTACTTGTGTGTGAACTGATGAAACTGCTTCCAAGTTCACACAGAATATGCCTTTATGGTTGTCCACCCACTTTGTTCCAGGTAAAAGGACATCAGGTGGAATGTAAGAGTAGTTGGGTGGAGGGTGTTCAATCATGACTGGTAAGCAGAACTCCCCGGCATGAAGGCGGCCATCACGGAATACTGGCAACCACTGAAAAATATTAACAATTTTATTTCTAATCTCTATTACTATGGTTTATATCATCCAAAACATACCATGTAAACAGAAAAACACAATCTGATATGGTAACACGAGGCAAAGAAAGTCTAAATAATGAGCGATAGCAGTGCAGTGCAGTGCAATGGTTAAACAGCAATGAATTAAACAGGAACATGTCCACAAATGGTGAATAGCTACTGATGTAGGAGGAAGTAGTTGTGGCATATTCCAAGGTACTATCTTGGCAACTGCCCCAACAGACAGTGAAACTATAACCTTTACGAAACAATAAACTGAGATTCAAACAGGGTACAGCCTAAATTCAAGCTAATAGTGTTACCAGTACATAAACGTGCTCTGTGAAAATCAAGCCCAACTGAATAAATATCAGAATATGACATGAGGGGGCACGCAGTAGCATAGTGGTTCAGGGGCTATGCTACAAGCCGGAAGGTTGCAGATTCAAGTCCTAATGAGGTCACTGGATTCTTTTCAGTTGACCTAATCCTTCCAGCTGCACTAGGCACTGGGGTTTACTCACCCTCTAACAGAAATGTGTACCAGGAATTAATTAAATAATTTTCCTGGGGAGTAAAGCGCAGCCAGCGCGTAAGGCTGACAACCTTACCACCATCTTTGAGCCAACTGTCTAGATAATGTGGGACCCTCAATGACTCACAACCCTATGGGCCTTCACAGCCTGGTACAGGGATAGCTTTACTTTACTCACTTTTATATGACACATGATGCCACACAAAGCATAATTAAATTATGGACATTTTCAAACAGTTTTAGTTCTATTATATTTAGAATATCCTGAGTCACACGGCAACAGAGCCTGCCAACACAAGGGGAGGAGAGAAGAGACCATGTATGTACACTACACACAGCAGCATGCACTCAATGTGCAACTGTAGGGACATAGTGTGACATGTCAACCCGTTGTTCAGTGACAAGATGTGGAACGAGGTTATGCAACTGGCTTCTAAGCGCCAGCCAGTAAACAACACTCCTGTGCAGGTGTGATGACGTCGTACTGCAGTAGTGAATACGAGTCACGTGAACTCTACGTTTCCGTGAGTGACGTCACATAACCCGACCCAGGCCATTGTTACATAGTGGTAAACATCCCTTCCATGCTAGGCTGTGACATCATACAACAGTGGAGTCCGTGCCGCAACTGCTGCTGGGCAATCGCTCAGTAAACACGTTCCAACAATATAGGCTGTTTTCTGCGTGGTCGGTGCGGAGACTATATAAGAACAGTATTCGGCAGTATTAGTCAGTATCTGGCAGTAGTTGGGAGTGGTGGAAGCAAGCAAAGTGGAACCAGGAATGCAGAAGGTCACTCTGTGAGGATGTCAAGTGTAATTGGAAGATCATATGTGTAATATTTTGAGTGATTGAAGTGGCAGTTTCTGTGTTGAGATTCATTACCAAGAGAGGACTAGTGTGCCTGTAACAGTTGATTATGAAGTGTATGTAAATCAGCAATATCGCTGTATTTAAGTGTAATTACATGAGAGTGTGTAACCAAGCTGTTAATAAATCCAATCATCCAAACCAGAACCTGTCATTTCAACATGTGTACCCTTCTGCACATGACAATATTATATACATCAATAGAATGTCAACATTTGACAAGGATGCTTATTGTTCACTTAAGTTGTAATACTTTTCACTCTTACTGAAAAAGAATAATCTGCATTACATAAAAATGTAGTATGTAATAACTTGTAAGATTTGAGGCTTTCACGGCAGAGACTATGAAGAAAGCAGTCTTCTGGGATTTGGCACTGTGTATATGTGGTGTTAACCGACGTTTTGGAGGAACATATCGCCTCCAGTCTGCTACTGCCGGTTCTCACGGTCTCTTCGCTTGCGGATTTCCTCCAAAACGTCAGTTAACACCACATATACATGGTGCCAAATCCCAGAAGACTGCTTTCTTCATGTAATAACTTCTTCAAGAAATTGTTTAAAAAACATTGCACGACACCAATTACTGTAGTGTTTACATGTCCTCTCTCACGATGCAGTTTTGAATCAAGCATTATCAGGAAAATAACTTAATCAAACCTGCGTACCGTAGAAGCAGCTACAGCAAGCTGACTCACCGTATAGCCGACTGGTGTTTCAACTGTGGTCTGTTCCACTTTATGCTGACAGCTGATATGATAGAAGGTAAAGAGAAGATGATGCTGGTCTCCTAAGTTTGCTGGAAGCTTGATCTTCATTTCATCATAGAAGTCAGGACTCCTAACATTTGCAATTTAACAAAATTTAAGTTTCACATAGAAACGGTAAAAAGTGCAATGATATAACATTTTATTCAAATATTTATGTAGAAACTTGTCACAGCCATTTTTTTAAGTTACTGCGTGAGAAAATCAGTGAAAAATTAGGCAACATTTCTGACATCAGCTGATCCTTAACTGACATCAAAATGTAAAAAATGCAAGATATCAGTCATCTAAATGACTTCTTAGCATGAAGTCACAATAATTTTTAACTAGAACTTTAGCATGACTAGTAATAACACTTTGATAAGTCCAGTGACCAAAGAGTATGAATTATGTCACTTACTTATTGTGATAGCTGACTGTTGTATATGCTTCAGTTGTATATTCTGGACATGATGACTTTCCAAAAATTGCTGGCAGTGCATGAGTATCCTCCTCCCCACACATGAGCTGAACTTTCACAGCAATGTTCCTTGCAGACCCTACATACACCAGAATGACATGAGTGTTCACTTGTATGAGATATACCAGTATACTGTAATAAAAGTAAAGTTATCCCTGTGCTTAACTAATTAAGCACTATGCCATGAATGCATATGACGGGGTGTGCCTGTATATATCCATGTTTTCTTGACCTCAGTACTAGTTGGAGGTGAGCGGTCAGTTTCAACCATGGCTACTTTACTCCTGGGAAAAGAGCCCCCAGTACCCACTAGATAGGAGGCTGGGTGGGCCCCAGAGCCAGTCTGGATGACATGAAGAAAATTCTTGACCGTACCAAAACTCAAACTCCAACCCTCTGGTCATCCAGCAAGTAACCTGTCACTATAGCAACTGTACTATCCTGTTTCTTCAAGAATTACCACTTCTGTCAATAAGATCTAGTACTGTTTATTGGATTTATGATTAAATTTTAAATTATAGTGTGCCGTAATTAATTCCATTAACACTTTATTCACTGTTTTATTCTTATGCTATGTAGAAGCAAATGCGTTTGGCTCTGCAGATCACCCTCAAAACTGCAAAGTAATAAAGTGTAGATGGAATTAATTGCCATATTGTATAGGCAACAAGTACCACAGAGATGTTACCATTTAAAGACCAACTTGTAAGGTGAATCATTTTTATCCCTTTCAAAATCAAGATACAAATAATTGCACATTCTCCATGTACTCCTGACAGGTCAAGGTATAATTATTTTTTTTCCTTGGCACTACAGCCCCAGTGGGCCTAGGCCTACCTCCATGAACTTCTCTGTTCAGTTCGGTTTTTCTAGATCTTACGCATTCGGTAGGACTCCTTGAGCGGGTGATCAGCTCGTCACAAGGCCTCTACCTGTACACAAACACAGAAAAACGCACACACACAAAATAAACATCCATGCCCTGAGTCGGATTTGAACCCACGATCCCGCTTTCCAAGCGAGCAAAGATAGTACATGCCTTAGACTGCTCGGCTACTGTGACCGGTGATATAATTATTTATCCCGCAATATTGTAAATGTATTGCTCTTCTCCCAGACATATAGACCTGTTGCTAAATGGTGACTCTGTAAACTATAATCACTGCTATGCAATAAACGAATAAACAAACACCTGTTTCCATGTAACAATCAAGGTATTGTTGGACTATAACAATGGAAACGGTGTTTTCTATGCGGTTCATCCCGATATGTTATAAGTGTGGTAGTCGAGTTCTGGAGCAGTCAGGTGAGTGAAGTGACGTGAAGTAGCTGGTTGGTGAGTGAGAGAGTTCAGTTGAAAGTCAGGTTGTGAAGAGGAGGTTAGGAGGTTGGTGCGAAATAGCCGCCAGCCTGGGACCCAGTTAGTTGAGTTGTCAGTTGAAGAGAGTTCTGTGTGGGCGGCTGTGACGAGAGGCCTCTAGTGAGGGAAGCTGAAAAATCTCCCATAGCAGAAGCCGTTGCCATGAAATGGCTAGTGGAGACTATAACAGACTGAGGACACTACTCTCCGTGTGTCAGTGATTTGTAAAGTGTAATTCTGAATGGTGTATATAAGTGGTCAATAAGTTCAATAGCCAAACCATAACCCATCTATAGTCACACACACCTAAAAGGTGATGATAATGATAAGTAGGAAAAAAAACCCAAACCCAATCCTTTCTCTTGATTATGTCAATGAGAATGTGTAATACATACTAGAAAATCCATTCAGAAAACTTGCCGTGAATTTATTTTAATAGCAGGACAAGATCACTATACCACATAAATAATGCAATGGTTGAAAAGTTCAAAATGGTTACAAAATTGTATTAGATTTCTCAAGGTGTAAAGCAGCCACAGCGTGAAGCTGACCACTCACCTCCAACTAGTGCTGAGGTTAAGAAAACGTGGATCCACACATCCATCCCCCCATATGCCTTATCTTTAATACGTGACACGTATTAAAGATAAGCAGCGGCATGCACACGGGGAGCCTACACAGAATAATACATGAACAGTGCTGAAAACAATAAGTAGCCGCTGCAGCACTATAGACATAGGGCGGGTACCCCTGAGAATTTTAAAATTTGAAAAAATTTTAAAGAAATTTTAAAATCTGAATTAAAGATTTTAAAAATGCCAGTTTTTGAAAATCAAATTGACGTGTGTAGGTTAACAAAGATTTTGTACATATCAGACAGATGACAGCGGAGAGGATTCTGATATATCGAAACCTGTTAGCAATGGAGAAGTGAACAATTGGGAAGACTGGTGTTTTATAAACTTTAAACTACGTGCAGTGTAGCAGCTACGTGAGAGTATACACCTGATGATGGCCATTTACGGCCGAAACATGTAGTGTAGAATAAAGGAAGATGAAAGAACTACAATAAATTGTTGCACTTAGGATGGAGTTTGTGCATATATCATTCTCATGCACAAAAGAACTCAAAACAAGCCTGCCCTCATTCTTTATTTTTATTTTGCATTCTTATCAGCCAGAATAAAAACACATTATCCCCTTATAACATAAACCAGCAATGAAAAATGAATTGCAAAAAATTTAAAATGCTGTATTTACTCACATAATTTATGCAATTCTCACCTCAAAATTACGTCTGAAAGTAAATATGTAAATATGACTTTTCATATCACAGTTGCACATGCTCAACTGAAGCAAATGCAGTTGAATGCGATGTAGCAACGTGATACGGATATTTTCGCCTTTGGAGTCCACCATATGATTTGTTGATTCAAACTGGGGAACTTTTCAATTAATGCATAGTTTTCTCAGAAAATGTGGCAAATGGTAGCATAGTTGGTTGAGGCACTATGCTACAAGCCAGAAGGTCACAGGATGGAATCTCGATTTCACTGGATTTTTCAATTGACTATAATCCCTCCAGCCGCACTATGGCCCTGGGGTTGACTCAGCCTGTAACAGATATGAGTACTAGGAATCTTCCTGGGGGTAAGGGGTGGTTGGTTCGTAAGGATTACAACCTTATCACCATCTGTGAGCCGATTTTCTAGAAGATGTGGGAGCCTTGACATCTTACAACCCTATGGGTTTTCATGGCCTGTTACAGGGACAGCTTTACTTTTATCTTTTTTTTTTCTTTTTTCCTCAGAAAATATAAAACCATGTTACCATAATGAATTTAATTTTAATCACACTTTCGACGAAAATTACGCAGTTTGAAATTTTACCTGAAGTAAAAATTCAGTATTCAATTTTTTCCTGAAATTTTTCTAAAACTAGGACTTTGTAGATTACATGAGTAAATACAGCAGTAGTAATGAAGCTGCAATGTCTCACCTGCTCGACTAGCAAAATTTACCTCCTTGGGATACACATACAGTATATTCCTGTATAGGTAATGTGGAACAAAAACTTCCCTTGGGGGAAACTCCAGTACTTCCTTAGTTGGTCGTGCATTTACATCTAAAACAATTCACAACCAAATTACAGCCTTGAACACTGCACAACTTTAGAAACACCAGAAGATCTTAATCAACAAAAATTACTACTCATCAAAGGTTCTCTGTGGCAATTATCTACCATCTTACGTGAATTACATTTACAATAATTTTTAAGAAATGACAGGATGAAATTTAATCATATGAGGAAGAGCAAGAAGGTGGAAGTTAAAATGAGCAACAAGAAGGATGAAAATGATGATGGCAAATCCAGTAAATAATGTTAGTGCTGAAACTCACTAACATCTTCCTGAGGTACAACACAAGTATTTCACAAATTAAAAATCATTACTAAGAAACACAACAGAAATCAAACTTTTGCAACAGAGAACAAACATTAACCAGATCAGTCTGTACAAATTATGAGGTTTTCACAACTGGAGATTCATAGTGGTCTTCCATGCTATAACATGTGGTCTGGCAAGTAGGTACCAACATTTAGGAGGAACATACTGCCTCCATCTTCAGGGTTGAAGTCAGCCTAGTTTGGAAAGGGCTGGCTATATAACAGAAGAGGGTGGGGGAAGAGAAGAAGACAGATCATGGGAGACAGGAGTGTGTAATCAGAGCAACAAATGCAGAAAATCTGAAATTTGTTACATTCACGAAGTTTCACTGTTATGAGATGTGAGAGAGAGGAAAAGAATTTCATTTGTTTCATTCTGGTCCGTCACACTAACAAATTACAAAGACAAAACAACTCCGTCCAGTGTGACTATTGAGTAAAAACAACACAGCACACCACGAACAAACACAGGAGGATACCAAGAACCTCCTTCTCAAGATATACAGGTGGCACAAGTTCAGCCCTCATCAAGAAAGACGATAGGAGAAGGGACACGAACCTACTTGGTTTATAAATTTTAACTTAAATAACAAAGTTATAATAACTTTAATATACAAAGAAAGCTGCTGTAGTTGTGGAAAAGTTGGATTTTGTATATATTGTGCATTACAAAAATTATATATATATATATATATACATATATGTGTATTTTAACACTCAAAATACCCATTGTGATAGTAGTTTCCAAAAAGTATTGATGTCCTTCTGATGATGGTCTATAGCAGCGTTTCTCAACTGCTGGGCCGCGGCCCGGTAGCGGGCCCTGGCATCAATTATATCCGGGCCCTCGTGTTATAGAAAAAGAATTTACCTGGCTGCGGCCTGACAAAGGTTGAGAAGCACTGGTCTATAGGGACCGAAACATGTAAGGGTGTTAAGTTTTCAAGTAGTAAAAACTTCAATAGTCACACTGGATGGAGTTCTTCTGTCTTTGTAGGGGAAAAGAAATTGGATCCAGCCAATCTTGAACACAGATCTTCGCCACAGCACACCATGCCACTGAAGTATGATATCATATTTCTGGACCACTAAGTACCTCTTCATCACTATCATTAAACATATCAGTCACAATAACACATTTACCTGGATATGGATGAAGATGAGCCAACTCAGGAGTAAGACAATTTTTGGGTTCATCAGGGCATGGAGAGATATCCAACTTCAACACACCAGGTATGCACTTCAATTTTTTCATAACAGAACATGGACGTTTTGGGTCTTGTAAGAATTTAAAGAGGTCTTCATCTCGCAAACGATCACTTTCCTGTAAGCAGTAATAAACCTTTGACAAATATGCAACTTCTGTGAAGGTAACACAGCAATGATGTGAACAAATGTAATGTCAATACAATTTCTAAGTAACAAGCTCTTCACTAAAGTAATATAAAATGATAGCAACTAGGCAAGTGTGAGAATGAATTTTTCAGTTCAAGCTGAGTCAGAAATGAGAATCTGGAAAAGATTTTGAGAACTGAAATGAGAATAAAAATTTTCTTGAACAGACTGATTTTTCACTGTAATACTTCTAAACCCCAGCCACTGTTCTCAAGAATAAAAATAATTAAAACTTTTCCTGTCACTTCACAATANGCAAATTTCAAATACTATGTTTTTGCTTGTGAGGGAAAGATACTGGTCACTCAAGACAGACTGCAGGACCAAATGAATTTTGCCTTAGAAATATTACAAGGACAATTAAAGAAAACCTCCAACCTACTTACTCTCCCACTTCAAAAGTATTCTGTATGTAAGAAGTTTAATTTTTTCTAAAATTTTATAATTGTTTTTAGGTTCACTTTAATGATAAGTACTTCACATTTTACTGTAATCCTTATTTTAAGAATTAACCTGCTTGAAAAAGCTGGATACTGTTAGAGTGACAGGACGGAATGTATCCAGACTTGAGCCAAAATCTTCTGGAGACCAGCTTCTCCTCTTCTCAGAGTTACTACGACGTTCCAGGGAACCACGTCGTGTCAAGGAGCCCATGTCACTTGCCCTTTTTCTGAACTGATCAAAACTGCTACTGCTTGACTTGCGATCTGCAAAAAGCCAAATTTTTCAATGAAACTTCTGAGTGATTTGAGATTCTCACAGCAATGGTTATGAAGAGTTCTACTTCCTAGGATGCCATGTTGTCTGCTGAAAGTCAATAAACGTTTCAGAGGAACACGACACCTCAGTGAAGTAGGTAGCAAGCACAGCTATGATTGTCTGGTTGATTCTTCAACTGTGAAGACAGAGGTGACATGTTACTCTACAACATCGGTTGACTTTCAGACTGTATGGCATTATATCCCAGAAGACAGAACTAAAGAAAGAGCACTCTACATTAACAGAAAAAGAAACCGTATAGGTTGTATTATGAAGAACAATAAAATTATTATGAAGCAACACACAGAGAGCATTGTAAGAGTCCAATCAACAATTCCAATCCAGTGTATGTAAAGGAATGACCTGGTTAGGTAGAATTAGTAGCCTAGAGCAGTTCATCCATCCATTTCCAGCCACATTATAATCTGTCTGGACAGAAAGATTCCAGACTTCAAGGAAATTCATTCACACAGTGTGAATCATTGGTTGTTTGTTCTTGTGCCCATTTGGTCACCCATGAGAATCCTTTATAAAAGATTTGAGGTTTTCACAGCAGTAAAGATTCACATTGTGATATTCTGTGTGTAGTCTAGTAAGTGGGTAAAACCATTTCAGTGGAATACAGTGCCTCCATCTTTGACCCTGGAGGTGGAAGCAGGAAGCTGGCTGGCACCCAGCTGCCAGGCTACACAGCAAAACAACCAAGACGTATGCCATATGGGTGTTGAAGTAGTAATGAAAAACAAACTGTCACTTGACATAAATTATCACAGTTAGTACAAACATGACATTAAATGTGAAATTTGAGGTTATAATTCTAATGACATGATATTGAAGATAAATGCTTTCTTGGATGTCATGTCATCCTGCAGAAGTTCAGGAATGCTTTCGAAGAATGTGCTGCCTCCATCTTCAGGGCAGTAGATGGATGGAGCATTTCCTTCAGAAATATCCATAAACAACTACAAGACAACACAGCACCACATCCCAAAAGCCAGTTATCTAAATGTCAAACAATAATTTTATTTAATAATCTCTGTTAAGTTCCATCCAATATCACATTTACATGCAACAAGAATTAACATTGTTCTTGTGCTGTACAGGTTCAACATCAAGCCATTATGTTCCAACTCACTGTTGGACCAAGTATGGTACTTTAAAAATGAAAAATAATTTAAATTGCAGCTGATCTTTCTCAGTATGTTCAAATAAAAAGACATCACATGTTGAGCTCAGTTTAGAATTTGGAAAATAATGGTCCAGTACACAAAATGTAACTGTTACAGCACTGCGTAGAACTTAAAAATTACTATCATATCTATATATCAACAACACTGACACTCTCAAATCAATTTACTTTGCCTGCTTTCACTCTCTAATGAAGTACAGAATAATTCATCTGACATCAAAAAGGTATTTACATTACAAAGGAAGATGGTTAGAATCATGATGGGAGCCAAACCTGTTGTAGAAATCTATTTATGAGATTAGTGACCCTACCCCTTCCTTGTGAACACATATTTTCATTAATGAACTTCATTATAAATAACCAAAAACATAATATTATATTTAAGCATCCTGTTGCATTGAGGTTCCACTACAGTCTATCATATGTTCCATCTAAAATGCAACAATCATTAACACTGATTCACACTTTAATTCACACAGTGGTCCACATCCTATAGTCATTTTTGACTAACTTTTGATCCGCGGAATATAACGCAATTTAATGTGCGTACATATGTGTCGAATATTTTCATTCCAAAACTTACCCAGACTATTAGAACCTGTGCTCTCCTTGTCACTCCCAGAATCCCGCTCCAAACTGTTCACTCCATTAATAATGTTCATGACATAAATTGCTGTCCATGCAAAAGGCATACGATATTTCCCAAGTCTCTCGCATGCTGCCACAGCATTAGCACGAACTTTGTCTCTATTCTGTAAACATACTCAGAACTAAAACACCCAATGTTTTCCACAAATACACAACACTAAAAATACAATTTTCTTCAGTGAATTCAATTTTTGTTTGATGCTTTGTCATGAATACTTCATGACATCAGCAAGAAAGATGAAGACTTTTGATGGTTCACTGACTGACTGGTATACTATCTTTTTTCCTTATGGGTAAGGATTTTAGTGAGATCTAGTAAATAATTTCAACAAAATCCATAACAGAACTATTTATTTCTTGTTTTGTGCATTATTTTATGGTGCTGTCAGTAGCTAGACAGCAATGATGGTATGATGATGAATTAACATGTATTTGTAAGGAAATGTTCATGCCTTAATTGACATAGTATCCAGGAATTTGCCTGGATGAACAAAAGAAAAGCAATAAGAACTTCCTTCAGGATAGCTGGTAGCCTGCCCAAGATTCAAATTCAGCACCTTCTAAATAAAAGTCTAAAGCCTTACCACCTTGCCAACCTGTGCAGTGGAACCCTGTTACAACATGACAATCACAAGAATATAGTAATATTGAAGAATCTGCTGCACTTAACTATGTCCTGTACTTCACCCTTATAAAAACTTACATGGATTAAGATGTTGGTATTTCATCTCTTTATGCATTATCTATGGATCGTTTCTACATTTTGACATTCAAAAATGAAAGTTTATTTTTCTGTTTTATATGACAGCAGAAATTTATCAAAGCTACAGAGTACTTTCAGTTGAAAACAGAGTTCCAAACACTTCATTTTGCATACCAATACATCAGTTTATAAGCAGTAACATCTTCAGCTCAGTCCACATTTGGCAAAGCTACAGATCACACTCTCATTCCCGTCCATGAATCATTTATTAATTCTTTATTAATATCTGAACTTAATTCTTACTTTGTCATCTTTCATGTACGGCTCGGTACAATCATTTATATCTCCCTGCAGAACTTTTTCTAGCTTGATGACCAAGAACATGTCGGATGATGGATAGGTTATATCAAAAATACAGGACCGACTTGATGTACTGATATCGCTGTACGGAATGTGAGATCTCAGCATATGTTTCAATCCTTCCGGATTCATGTCAAAATAAAAGTTTTCTGACAGTTTCTTCTTCTCTTTTGCATCATACAGGGCCATTGATGCAAAAATTGGTTCCACTTCCAGATCCAACCTATATCAAAGAATACTTCCAATCAGTTTATCAACAATCAGTTATCAGTTCAACAATCTGCCACAAAGTATTAAAAACTTGGGCAATGATACTAAAAAGTTTAAATCAGAGTTAAAGAATTATCTACATGCTCATTCCTTCTACTCTTTAGATGAATACTTCAATGTAAATAGAGAATGATGTAAAATTAAGTTATATTAATTTTTAAGCTAAAATTGCCTGTACTTATGTATGTAACCTTTTGACTTGTTCTGTATCCAAAGGTACTAACCTGCTTAGGATTTATAGAATGTAAATAAATTCAATTCAATTCAATTCAATAACAACTTGATACACAGAAATAGGGAAATCTGAACAGTAATCTTCATGCACAATGTGTCTTACACTCAAATACTTGAAAATTATGGGTGGAACAGTGTGTTTCTTACGTATGGCAACAAGTAAATAAGGAAGATACATCAAATTTAAGCAAATTTAAGGTGAGTTAAAAAAGGAAATATCATCTTAAATTCAAATGCTATGAAAATACTCACCTAAATTAAGAATAATGTCTTACACTAACGTCTCTTGATTAGCATGCCCCTTTTTGTCTTTTTTACTCATCTGTTTGTACATTGCTTACATAATTCTATGTCTTCAGGTGTGTGCATATACAGGCCACCGATCACAGTGGCCATGCAGTCAAAGGCATGAACTGTCTTTGCCCGCCTGAACACTGGAATCGTTCGTTCGATTCCCAATTGAGGCATCAATGTTTATGCGCATTTATTCTGTGTGTAGGGAGCAGCCTTTCAATGGGTTGATCCCCCATCCAAGGAGTCCTATTGACTGTGTATAGATCAAGAAACTGAAAAAGCAGCCAAGGTCCATAATGGCTGTAGAGCCATAGACAGATATACCAATAGCATATATAGGCCTATTTATAACTGGTACTTATTTACATATTAATAGCTGACCAAATAGCTTCAAAATTTATGGTCATGTTGGTGCAAGAGTAGTCCGTCCGTATATTACCTACAACAGTGACCATAATGAAGGCCAGCCAGTTATTCTTAAACTAATTGCCAACATGCATGTTAACCTGTTTTCTGCAACCTTTATGGTTCACTGCCAGTTAACTTAACCAATGACGTTTTGCTTCATGAGATACTTGCTCTCATACTTGCATTCACAAATTCACATTTCTGAAGTCATTTGCAACACAAAATAGCTCCTATTTCAGACTGACGGTTGTGGAATTGGAGGCTAAATGCAGATCAACTACAAATAGGGTAACATGACAAACAACATGGTGATACACTTTAAAGTACTTGGTTCACCCATTAATATGTCATAGGCTGTACAAAAAAATCATGGGCGCATTTATTTTATATTAAACCAAAGGCGTATGTACAAAAACAGATATTACCTGGAGTTACTGGGAAATTTCCCATTATTATTCCACAGAATCTCCAAAACAATCCAGGAATTTTTGCCAGTGGTGCTGGAGTTGAATACAATGCTGTGATAGAAGTTCATATCAGTATTTCACAGCCATGTGTGCATGGTTTGCTGGAATGAGTTTTCACAGCACTCGCCCTTCATCTGATTTTTAAGCGCCTGAACAGGTGGTTGGATGATGGGCCAAGCCCAAATTGTATGGACAGGGGAGCACCTCCCATGCTAAATTCTCAACTTTCCCCACCATCATGTGCACAGTGTGAGGACATGCATTATTATATTGGAGAGAGACGTGTCTTTTCATCAGCACTTGTCACAAAGTGCACATCACAATGTCTGGAGCATTGTAATGTAGTAATCCGCACTAACAATTTCCTTTCTGGGTGGAAAATCAACCAATGTGCACCCCTTGGCAACCCAGGAACCTTGTCTCACAATGTTTCCAGCTGAGGGACGGTTCTGGTCTTCTCCTTTGAATATACAGCATAATGTTATACCATGCCGTATCATTTTGTTTTGGTGTGAAAACAGTGGAACCAGCTTTCACCAACAGCCACAATATTCAGTAAGAAGTAACCGCCCTCAGCAGCATGTCACTGAAGTAACTGCAATGCCACTGTACTAATCCATCAGCAGCTGGAAAATCTAATGACAATAAACTTCCCTGTATCCTAAAATATTTATAATTTCCTGCTTGTATTGAGTCCAATGCCAAGCTGCACTATTTCTCACCCTTCATTTTTCTGTGGTGAGTGCATCAATTTTCTGCTTGTTGTATTTTCTTGTGTCAGTTCTTGGCAGGCCATAGAGAAGCAGATTGGTGAGGTCCCTGTCGTCATCTCTGAAGTGTTTCACCCAACTATGCACGCTACCGAACCACTCAGGAATGTTCATAGACATGATAAAGTCAATTACACATATTTGCAACAAAACTGTTCTCCTTTATATGGAATCCAATCACAATGAAGTATCATTTACAGCCATTTTGTCAAAACAGATTATGGGTAAGTATCGGTACACATGAGCTAGACCTGAGTTTCAGATTCCAGATAACACATATAGCTACTGATTGTATGACCCCCAGTCTCACTGAGCTCAAGCAACATACACACTGATGCTGCTCACTGCTTCCAGTACAGCCCTCGTTAAGTATCACATAATGATTCAGGTACAAGAAATGCGTATGCATATACTCTTATCCATATAAACTACAGGTGTGACATTACATAATTTATTTACTATACCAGTTTGTTAATAAACATATTAAGACAGTATTGTATAATTTTGGCAATTTATAAATATAATAATTAACACATTATAAATTATTAATGGAGAAATTATGTATGTCATTAGGGCTACTGTAACGTATTTTGTTCTTGGAATATGTTGCTTAACTGTTCATTATTCTAGACACTTTCCACTTCCTGCTTAGTCCAATTACCCACCCACCCATCCAATTATTCACGTACTCAGCACCTACCCACATCCCACTCCCCTAAAATACTCACTTCAGCTGCATGCATCTGACAAGAATGCGATGTACAACATGTTCACAGGGTACTTCAGCTGGTATTCGTTTCTCAATAACTTCATCCTCATCTTCTGGTGGATACAAGGAGAATAATGCACTCTACAAAAATAAATACAAAGAATGAATGTTATACTCAAAATAAAATCAGAGAAAAATCACTGTATGGAGGACACATACACATAATTGCAGGGTCCATATTTTGAGACTAAAAATTAAAACAAAATATATTAAAATTAAAAAATTAAAGCTATTCCTGTAACAGGCCATGGAGGCCCACAGTGTTGTGAGACATCGAGGCTCCAATATTTTCCAGACACTCAGTTCACAGGTGGCAGTGAGATTGTCAGCCTTTCACACCCACTGCCCTCTACCCCCAGGAAGATTCCTGGTACTTATTTCTGTTAGAGGCCGAATCAACCCTAGGGCCACAAGGAATAAATAAAAGAAATGGGTAGGTGCAATAATTAGGCTCTTATTTCTTCTAACTGACACTGAGGGACGTATGTATACATACTGCATTTCAAACACACTAAACCATAATTTACAATTTTTTTTTTATTCCATGGTCCTTTCTTAATTTTGAACTTAACAATATGGGTCTGTAATTCAGTGATCCATGGTCCCACCTGTGTGTGATGTAACAAGTCTCAACTTGGGTGAAAGAATGTACCACCACTATATTTTTATTTCAACTCTAGACATAAAATAGTGCAGTTGCAAGCTTACAACAGTCAAGGTCCATACTAATATGACTAGCAGAACAGTGGTCACAAATAAAAGATGTAACTGGCAACAAGCCTGTCCAATACGTAACTGCTGGCCAATGTTATTCTGAGGTGGACCTCACTGATGTCACTGTCAGCCAATGCTATTTTGTGGGAGACAGAGAACAGCACTGACACAAAGCATCATTAAGACACAGTTAGTGTACAGTGTAGGTACATGAGGGCATCATTACATAAACTCTATGGCTTATATGCATACCTGTCTCTCCTCCTGACGTCGGACTTCATTCAACTGGTCTATCTTTTCAGGTGGAACTCTCTCTAGTAAGGAAGGGATCAGGGAGTCACTCACTGAATTACGAAGGTCAAAACTAGCCCAACTTCCACGTGGAGTGTCAACCGAATGAACAGACTGACGTGCTGAAGATACACCAGAATCTGGCTGCAAAATGTAAGCAAGTCTAATTAAATTCTCCCTGTAAGCATGAAAAATACTAAACAGAAAAAGCATCTATTTTATATAAAGATTTTGTGATTCCAGCGAACTTATCTCATGTACATTTTCTCCACATAACAGTTTTAGTATAAATGCATCAACCCTAAGACACATATTACCTGTAATATGCCATGGGATAAAGAACTTCAACAACATTAAAATATCTGCGAACTGAATTTAAAGTAAGAGGTATTAATTAAAACATAACAGCAAAGGTAATCATGTACAGTATATTTTATGGAAGTAAAAGTAAAGAATGTTGGATAATAAATTACAACAGATATACAGAACTAAACCAGGGCATGAGTCTTGAAATTACCAATAGTACATCTACAAATTCATGCTTTATAACCACAGTCTTCCAGTAAGACCAACTTAAAGCAAAAACTTCCTACTCATGCACCCACTAGTGATCAAACCAGCTGTATAAGAAAAATACATTCTGCTAGAACGAAGATTATGCTGTGTACCATGATGGAGATATATACATCAATACAGTAACAGAAATCCACTTATTATAAATACATTTTATGTGGTTATTCTAAACATGACAGTAAGTTCACTACAATTTATATTGTCACTCAAGTAATTATGAAGAACAGGGGTTTCACCTAAAATGATTCCAATTCTGTGAAATAAAATGGAGGCAGGAGTGAAAGCAAATACACAGGACCCTACAAAGAATTCCTCTAGTTAGATATTACAAGGTGTCCTTGCAAGGCCCAAAAAATAAAAAAACTAAAACAGTGCTGATAATGAAAAGAGCAACTCAGTGCAATTTTTATTCATACTACCAGCCATCACATTAATGAATGTATTTGGGGAAAATTAAAAAAAAAAATGTAGTTTTCCCAGTGCTTAATTAGCTAAGCACTATGCTATGAACCCACATGGGAGTGGAGGTGAGTCCTCAGCTAACATGCCCCTGCTGTTCTAACCCCTGAGGGAAAGCTGTCAGTACACACTCGATACGAGCCTGGGGGGACCCAGAGTCAGTCTGAACACTGTCAAGAAGAGAAAAATTTTGCACTGATAGAAATCAAACTCAGGCCATCCTGCCTGTAGCCTGTCACTGTACTGACTGAGCTATCCTGACCCATATCTGGGAGAAATAACATGGATAATATACTGAAAAACATACATATTACAAATGACCACAATATAACTTCATATTTCCTCTGTCACTTTCACATTATTCCTGAACTGGAGATGGTGTCCATGTTTCCAGATTTATGAACTGTACATGTCAAGGTAAATGGTAGGATTTTTGTATATATAATAAATAGGAAAAGATGTGCAGCCTGTTTTAAGGTACCATCTATGTTCTTGTCAGGTTTGCTCAGGGGTTCTCAAACTTTGTGATACTACAGCCCCATCAAACAGCAGTTCTGCACACTGCTGAGGGTCTTTATCAGGCCATAAGGTGACAGCGAGATACTACACAGGTTTACATAATCTCTACATGATCACTTATCCATAAAATGTTTCTATATGGTCGTGAAAAAATTCACAAAATGCTTTGCCACCTGTGGCTACACTTTCCAAAAGCATCTACGTCAAATCTTACTGGTTTGCCAAAACTGTGTGGATATTACTTTTTAAATAATTCTTGAGAACTGAAGTAATTCTCCTTCAAAGAAGACACACAGTTGACGAACCATGGGTTAGTCAGTCTCTAGTCCAAAATTTGGCCCATTACCCCCTCAACATCTTGTGTATCCACCTCAAGGTTCAATGACCTGCTGATGAAAAACAATTCCTCACTGGCCTTATTCACAGTCTCGGTTACTGCAAACCTTTGGGTATCTTCAACAAACTGAGGGCACAGCTTCCATCATCACACTCCATTCAGTCAAGAGTTTGCTGACTTCTTCCCAAGAATCAGCAATCTCTGTAACAGCTTGCGAGATGTTATATACATTCCAGAGTTCCTCAGGGGTAGGGGCTCCTACATCTGTCTTGCCCCCAGCCAGAACAAAGGTTCTCTTTAGCTAACAAGCCTTGAATACTGCGACAACAACCTGATCCTTGGGCTGGCAGGGTTGTTGTGGGGCAAACACAACTTTAATCTTAGGGTGAATATCATACTAGTAAGGAGGATGACCTGGAGCACAGGACAGTTTTTCACTGCTAGCACAAAATGATAACTCATAAAACATATCCCTAGTTACTGAAACCTTAGAATTTGACATCAAAACCAACGGTTGAGTTCCCTTATTAATCCCCTTAAAGGCTCTAAGAGTTTCAGCAGAGGATTTAACTTAAAATGCCCAGGTGCATTTGCACCCAACATCAAAGTCAGGCCATTTTTGCAGCTTTGAATGCAGGCACTGTTTTCTCCTCCTTGGTACTACTGGCTGATTCTGGTGGGAATTTCTTTTTTACAAAACTACTGTCTCATTCACGCTGAGGACATCATTATAGCAATAAACTCCATCTTCAACAGGTCTGGCCATTTCCTTTATAAAATCAGTGTTGCATTAATGTGGCATGCCAGTTAGGAATGGGGGATAACTGTTACCAAACTTTGGCATGAAGTATAAAATTTAAGATTTGATTTGTAAGTCTGAAAATTCAGAGTCTAAGCCTAATTGGGTGTGAATTTAATGCGATCCTAAGCCTGGAAGTCTGTAAACTACTGGTTGAGGTATGGCTGTATGTCAAGGTAGCTACGTTTGAGGATTACCTTGCAGCCCTCATCTTCAAAGCAGCTGACAAAGACAGGTTGATCATGGTCAACTTCAAATACCTGACGTGGTATAGCTTGAACAAGGTTATGCCTTTCACCTCCTCGGTCACGCACCCAACTACTGCTAGACAAATGACGGTACTGGTAATTAACAACTACCCAGTCCTCAGTATACAACTGAACACAGTCACGAACATGAGTAAACAACTCATCCCTGAAACAGGACACAATTCACAATAACAAGCAATATGGAAAAATGTACAGAAGTTGACATAGAGAAAGGTGTAACAATTTAAGCTTAACTTACAAAATAGAATACTGGAATATGATGAATAACAATAATGCATAGAAAACACCTTAATATCCACTGTTGTATTCAAACTGTTCAAGCTGCCTAGCAACAAGCTGCATAACAGAGTTCTCAACAGTATCTCTTCTGTTTTATAGGCATGTATACTGCACTGTTGCATAGCAACGGCTGCTATCTCATTTGTTTCAAGGCCTTTGCCTAGTGACTAGTCTATATGCCATAATATTAATAAAATGTTCACAGCATGAACTCACCTTACTAAAAGTTTCATAAAGTTCGTCCCAAACATTTTAAAATATCCAATATTCATTAATAGACAGTGGATGCCACTTACTTCCATCATTTCAGGACACAGATTTTTTTTTTATTATTATTCTTAGTGGGGTGAGATTGAGTCCACTTGGTACTGCACCCACTATTGGTCTATTGTACCAGCCCCAGATGATAGATGATGGTGATTGTGGAGCAATTGGTGAAATGAAGATTGGCAGGGGAAACTGAAGTAATCGGAGAAAACCTGTCCCAATGCCACTTCGTCTACCACAAATCCCACATGACCTGACCCAGGCTTGAACCCAGGCCACCATGGTGTGAAGTCAGCGACTAATGGCCTGAGCTATGGTACAGCCTTACAGGACACAGCTTAGTTCACAATAATATCTGACTTATAATAATTGATGAAACAAGAATACAGATGTTCAGTTTTGTTTATTGATGCAGAGTGGAAATGTGTACATAAGAAGAAAAATGAGGACAGAAACAAAACTTTAAAATTGAGGAATATAAAATACTTTAGGTTGATTGCCATTTATTTTTTCCAGGAAGTCATCAGTAAAAATGAAACAGTCATAATGTTTCTGGGAATCCACACACACCATTAAAAACAAATAAAGGGAATATTATAATCAAGAACTAGAAATAAATCTTTTAAAGCTGTCTGTCTGTGACCTTTTCTGACAAGATCATTAATAAAATGTTCATATTCATGTTGGAGCTCAAGAACAAACTGGGATATTATGTAATCGGTTCCACTGCACATGCGTCAAGGCTGCAATAACAAAAAGTGAACTGCTGATTTTAATAAGCTTAATTTTTCTATGTATTACTAAAAATCTGATTGGGACTTCATAAAAATAATAACATTACATGACTGATAACATCTGTGATTACAACAGGTGGCATCAACTGTATATCTGAAAATGTATTTAGGATTTCATTACACCTGCAGTTCATTTGCACACTTTCAACCAAAGATAAGTTATTATGATAAATTTTAGTAATAACACTTAATACAGAATTCCATCAAATACATTTAATTTGAACATGGTTATTATGTGCATACAGTTACATAAATATGGAAATGCTGTTTCAGCCACATCCTAATTTATATTATACTGTCCTGTAACAAAATCTCTTTGATTAATTTATCATAGTACTAACCACTCGTACATACATCAAACAAATATATATATATATATATATATATATATATATTACATGATGTGAACAGTAAATGTACAAACATTCCTCAACAAATTATAAAGAACACCAGATAGCAAGTGCAGCAGTAGAAGTATACCCAAACATTTACTCACAATGTTTCTTCCGGAACTATGGGTGACTGTGTTCTAATTCTCCGAGGAATTATCACCACTTTAATATCATTAGCTGGAAAGTCCAGTACATGATGTAGCGGATCTCGATCCAGTAATGGTTGATGCTGCTGAATGAAATCCTCATAATCCAATGGATCTACAGTGTCACACAGAGATGCCTACAAAACACCACAATCTGATATTGTGACAATTATATCTATATGAATATTATGGCAATACGAGGCAAATATAACAAACTGTAGATTCACTCATTGCATTTTCTAACACAATCACACATATAAATGAAAAAGTTTATTGACAGTACTCACCACGGAGGAAAATCCAGATATACTACTGCCACTTTTTGTTAAATCCCTTGGATATGACGACGTAGCTATCTGTTTACGAACATCTGCAGCATGTTGCCTGTAATTAAACAGAATTGTAACATTTTCGGAAACTGAGAATATATTATGAAAAAGCAATGGTGTGAATGTTAAATAAATTATATAATTAAATCAGATACTCTACATTAAAACTTGGCAAGAAGAATTATCATGGGACTACAGACAGAACAACCCTAACTTGGAAAATGTCCAAAAAATACATTCATATTTTTTTAATTAAGATCATAGAAAAATAATAGTGGAACATCATAAATAATAGAGGTCCTAATCGGGGACATTTTATGTCTACCAAGGTGGGAAACTCACTCTGATATCCACCATTTATACAAGGCATACCATTCAAACCACAAACCTAATATCCAACATTTATACAAGGCATACCATTCAAACCACAACCCTAACATCCACCATTTATACAAGGCATACCATTCAAACCACAAACCTAATATCCACCATTTATATGAGGCATACCATTCAAAACACAGTCAAAATCTCCATTGCCTTTTTGAAGAAAAGTGTCTACTAGAAGAGTTCTATCTTCTCAGGCATAATGCTGTGTAGACCGCTGAAAGTCAACTGACATTTTGGAGGAACATGTCACTTCAATTCTCAGCTCACTTTCAAGGGAATACATGACATTATATTCCGGAGGACAGAATGCTTCATAACCACAAATCCTACAATCATCTACTAGTCTTAAAGTGTTTCATGGAATGTTGTGAAGTGTTTGTGGGTCAATGCTAGCAAAAGTATTTTCAATGGTGTGTACTAGGTCCTCCAGGCCTCATAAGTTATTTAAATAGACTCATTCATCCGGAAAACTCCACAGAGAAGTCCAAAGGTGAGGTTTAGAGATCAAGGCAGCCAGAGGCCACACGCAGCATGTTCATTGAAGAACTCTTGTAGTAAACAGGGCAGCAATCCTGTAAGGCCAAAACCAGCAATCCATTTCACCCCTTTCTGACAGAAAAATGAACATTCTCTATTAACTGTGTCCTCAAAAAACAATGGTCCCAAATATTCGCATTCAAGGTACTGCACACCCCAATTCAATCTTCATTTAATGAACATGATTTATCTGCAATGTGTGTGTATTTCAACACTCCACAGTTGGCTGTTCTGACTGTGGAACCACACTATCTTTGGGAAGACAGAAACTGTCAACATATGAAACCCCTCAAGCACAAACTGCTGGAATCAATGGCAGCACTAAATTGTTGCAGCTGTATCCCATTGCTATAGCTGATGCAGGGATTGAAATCAGTACACATTCATAATTTCAGCTGTTTGGTTGTTTAATAAGCAGTTTGTTGTGACAGACTTTTGAAAGATTTCCTTGCAAAGAGGCTAGTCAGAATTACTGGGTTTTTGGACCCTGTCCATCGTCCGGTATTCTAGAAACTAGAAAACGCAATGTTTTGGAAACTATATGTTTCCATCCTCATGTGAGGGGGGAGAAGACACATATCCTGTTGGACCCCTTTGAAAGAGCTAACCTCATTCACTGGACAATCAGAAACGTTGTGTCCTTCAGCATTCTTTAGGACCCCGGACAGAGTCCAAGAAAACCTAGTAATACAATGACATTACAAAATTCGACCTCCAGTGATTCGGGTTAGCTTTTTCTAAGGGACCCAACAGGGTATGTGTCTTCTCACCGCTCACCTGAGGACGGAAACAGATCTAGTTTCTGAAACATTGTGTTTTCTAGTTTCTAGATGATGGGTAGGTCCAAAAACCCAGTAATTCCAAGTATTATACACCACTGTCACAACCCTTTAGAGATAGGCTAGTGTTTCTTCAGCTTTGTAGAGTGTATCAACTGCCAAAACTGTTGTCCGTCATACTTCCCATACCCCAAAATTTTGTTATGTCAGCGTACATTATTTGGTACTCACTTGCCAGGATATGCATTGTTAATGTTTCATAGACAGCAGCAAACAATTCTGATGCAAAGTAGTGTTCAAGAATAAATACATGCTCTGCTCATAAAAACATTATGCTTGTACCCAGACAGCTTCTGCATAACTGGTGTCTGTAAAGGCCTAGCAACCAGCGAGATCAAGAAGGTTAGGAGTATAACCTCTGATTCATTTCTGTATTACAGAATGTGACTGTTTGAACTGTACTTTATATGGTACACCATGTATATACCAATGCAACAAGAAGATAATCAGGGGTGGCAAAGTTGACACATTTTCTTTAAGTACAGTTTGGTATCTCATAACCATTGTTAAAAAAAAAAAAAAGAAAAGACATGGAGGAAGTTGTTTGGAGAAAGTGTGAATAAAGTAAAGTGTTGGACATATAACTTCTGTCCACAACATTTTTCAGTTTACTCAATACCTAACACTAGGAAGCAAAATCCTTCTATTGGTTTACTCCAGATACTTGCAATCTCATAACATGTTCACAAAAGCCTGCCCAAGGATCTTGCTCTTCAAAATACTAAATACACTGGAATATATTTTGTTTTCTATAGTGGCACTGAAGGTTATATTCCAACTTTGTCTCAGATACAGAACCTAATAAAATTTAACTTACATGTCTAAATTAATTCATTGTCTACCCAAAAAATGGCTTTTGCCAATTTCTCCTTTCTGCTGATTCCATACATTGCAAAAATACTAATTACATTCAAATACAAAGTACACCAATAAATTTTGTCTGCCTGCACTACAACACAAACATTTAGCATTGGTTTCATTTGAAAATGATGGTAATACCCTTTCTGAAAGGTACAGAGAATGTTGTTTTTGTAAGACTGCATCCATTTGTGGGCATGTAGATTAAACTGCCATCTAGTAATGGTGCATAGTGTTCCTCAATACACAGCCAGATTTACAATTTGGTCTCACCACTATATACAAACAAGGCATTTCTTGTGTAAACATAACAGACTTTCATTATATTCAGTTGACTTACTTGACAATCAATTAATTATAAGGAGACTGACATAAATTCTGCAACATATTTGAACATGGAGACAGAAAAAGTGGATATTAAGTACTCTGACAACATATTCATCCCTAAGCCTCATAAAATCAATTGGGGTAGTAAAAAAGTTGTCCTAAATAAAACTCTTTATTACGACTGTCACAACACAACAATACAGAGTTTAAGGCTAAATTAGCTTTGCTACATGTTTCAGCTATTCACAGCCGTATCAGGCCGAATAGCCAAAACATGTAGCAAAGCTAATTTAGCCTTGAACTATGTATTGTTGTGTTGTGAGGGTCTTAATAAGGTGTATATAACAACACAACAGGGTGCATAAAATGAAAATTCTATCCTAAAGATGGAGGCAGCAGGTCCTCTGAAACAATGACTACAGGGCACCACATCCAAGAGGAACATAGTTTTAATATTCTGAGTTGTCAGGTATGGGTAATGTCATTATTGTGCTTAATTAAGCACCACATCATGAAGCCATGCGGGGGTGAACGTATAACTCCACCATTCTTGACCTTGGCACTGTGTGTTGGTAAGTGGTCAGTTTTATGACCAGGGCCCCTGGTACCCACTGAATAGGCTACATAGACCCCAGACCCAAACCAGACATTGGGGCCTCCTCAAAAATCGCTTGCCATTGCCAGGAATGGAACACTGGTCACCTAGCCCGTAGCCCACCGCGATACCGGCCCTATTCCGAGTCGTGGGAACCTCAAATATCAAACGTCAAGCAAACACCATCATTACGTGCCGAACCATGAGAGCACAGAACTGGACGTGGAAATACGGCTTTAACTGATGTGAAAGGATACGAAATTGTCCGAAGAGTGGAATGATCTCATTGAGGCATAACATGTAGAAGCTCGTGAGATAAATCTGAAAATCCTGTGACCGGCACGTACATTCATCCACCTCCCTTCCAAACAAAGGTTAAGTTCTCTGTCAAAATCGTCGAAAAACCTCAAAATCTATTACGAAATTTATCTTCACTAACTTTGACAATTTCTGAGCAAACGCTCTTTGCACAGATGCCATGTTGATGGTACGGTACGAAAACTTCGCGTATCACATATTGTCATTCCTTACATCTCCTGTGTCACTCAATATCACCGACAACCACCAAATGACAACCACTGATGACGCTGATGACTAACGTTACCATGGATCACACAGTGAAGTCATAATAATCCGTGCTCTGTTCTATTCCATAGTCCATTATTCGTGCTTGTGGTGTATATATAGTTAACTAATTAATTTCATGGAGCTGAGCCTTCTTGAGGAGACACCAGTCGCTTAGGTACTCAAGAAATTCCCACCATTTTATGGAACCCGATGGTTTATTACTGTGTATACAAGAGCCCTCCACCGGTCCTTGTCCAGTTCAGACCACCCTATCCCAGCTCTCTAAAATCCATTTTAATATTAGCCACCCCCCTATGTTTTGGTTTTCCTAGTGGTGTGTTTCCTTCAGCCTTTCCTACCAATATCCTATATGCAATCCTCTTTGCCCCATTCATGCCAGCAGTTCTCAGAAATTGTGGTTGTGTTGCAACTACCAGTTTCCTTGGGGTGCCTTCAGCCTTAATGTCAGTACCAAAATTCACACCCATACAAAACGACAAGCAAAATTACAGTTTTGTGTATTCTATTTTTGTGTGTTTAGACAGCAGGTAAGAATACAAACGGTTCTGGACTGAATGGTGACCACCATTACCTGAATTCAGTCTCATAATTTCCTCCAGAATCATATTTTGAATTGTTGCTGTTGTTCCCAAATATTTGAACTGTTCCACATTTTCAAAGGATGTATTAGCCATCTTTATGTTATGATTTTCCCCTGCATTCTGGTGATGAGATATCAACATATGCTTAGTTTTCTCTTAGCATTCAGGAATCATAAATCTAAGGGCAAAGCACAGTTGCCAGAATCTTGTGCCATATCCTAATACTGTACATCTCTTCTTTACATTGTTGCGATTGACATATTCATGGTTATCAACAGAATTTATTTCAGGGGGTTTGCCAAATAATACCTTTTTAGTGACTGCTAAAAAATGTTTAATTTTTTGCATGTTTCTTTCCCCAGTTTTTTCTTCACATTTTTGGGGAGGGAGGCCACATGCCTAGTTTTCTTCCCCATCCCCTTATTGTGTATATTCATGGTTTTTAACTATGAAAACTTATTTTTATCCATTTTATCAACCATATTAAAACTCAAGATGATGATGGCAGTATCTTGTTCATATTATTTGGCAGTAACAAGTGCAGGCACATCTGAGTTAGCAAAATGCAAGAACAGATTCTTTTCTAGGTTCGGTAACGTTTTACATAGTAGAAGCGTAACATTAAATTTACAGTAAACAGCACTGTATGTTAATCTTTCTTATCTTTACCAATAACAGTACTCACAGTTCTGAAGTAGGATCTGCATACTTTGAACATAAATATTAAGCCAGTAGGAAATGGACTGGAATTTGTAATGTTCTAATAATTACTTCAAACATCATGCATTTTATATATGTATCCAGGGACAGATACATTTGCGCTTCAAGCAGAGAATCTGGCAAAAACGTTTGTCACTGAGGGACAAATGACTTCTAGTACTGCATGGAATAATAACTATTTTTGGAGATAACACTAGATTTCTTATCTCTCACTGCTTTGAATTGTAGTTTTCGAAAACAGAAGATTATAAACAATACATAAGACATTTAATTTAATTAATCATATTTCTCAGTTGTGTGTAGGTCATTCCTGCTACTCGTTTACCTGGAATCAGATACAATGCTGAGCAGTACATACTTGTAGCATGGAAAAGGGTTCATGAGACCTGCCAAATATGCAATGAAATTTAATGTAACTTTAGATTAATATATTTCAAAATAAAACATCTTAAATGTAAGTACAGTTTATACATAGAAAAGTATTTCTAACAAAAATGTACATTCCATGCTTTTAAGGTCAGTATTCTATTTATAAACATAATGACCAGATTTTACTGTTTACACCAAAAAATATACAATAACTTGAAAAATGTAATATCAACTTGATAACAGTAATTAGACTGTAATATATTCACAAAATGATACATAACCATTTCAATTGTATATTTAAAATGATGTGGCAAAGTACTAGAATAACATTTATAATGTATGTCATGTAAAGCATGTTGTTCTAATGGTATTTCTCAACATGAATTAATAATATTGCCTCCAGGTCACAATGTTGCATGAAATGCTAGGCGGAAACTTTCCCCTGCATACTCAGTCAGTGAATTGGAACAATCTGTAGCCATTCTGGGACTGGTAGAGCAGAAGAGTTACTCCTGATCTGAACAAAAACTTACTGTGTTGCTAAACTGATGCCTGTTCTCTGGTTTTCTTTGTAACATCAGGTTCATTTACAAATGTATGATAAACATATGGTAACTGGCTATTTACAAACTGCAACAACAGTAGAGAGACAACACTGATATAGATGATTCAACCATGACAATATAGAACTGTATGATCATAAGTGAAGATTTTCAACATCAGTAACTCCATTTGGTGTCTAAATGTGGTGGCTACAAATAACTGATTTAATCAACAATGTGTTGTGACCTCACACATTACTGTCAAATGGGGCAGTTTCAAACTCCATTCTACAAAATCACAATTAAATTTTCGTTTGGAATACCTTACATTCCACTGCTTCTGCAACACTAGCCAACAAGGATGACGTGGAACAGAAAATGTTCACACAGTAGACAAAATTCTGAAAAGTGAACCCTGACAAAAGACTATGTGTATATAAGTTTCATGGAGTTTGATATGTGTACTTAACAAAACAGAGGTACACAAATTAAGGGATAGGGCGTTGAAGATAAATCCTCTTTTAATCAGCCACCATATGGTTGGCCTGAATTAGGATCAAACACGATTTCTGGGGACGAATTTTATTTTTTATATAATACAAATATATGCCATTTTAAGAAATATTTAAGAGAACAGAAGAAAGCTATATGTTGTATTATAATCACAGTAAGTTGCAAATCATGTTTTCTATCAATTATTCTACCCCATGGCATTCCACTATCTGGACAAGTGAGTTGTTTTCTACCTGTAGGCACCCAAAAATTCCCATCAGTCTTAGCTTGCAACACAGTACTTGCTGCTACCTTTAGAATGAAAAGGGCTGGAACCTATGCCCAAGACACTTGTTATTGCTAATTTAATTTTATACACTTGATGTTGCCACACCCTGTCTACAGCACTTTATCATCACTGTGAACTTTGGCACAGAATTAAGAAAAAATACACTGTTACCAGCCATTACAGCCCAATCACCAATAAGTAATTCTTTCTCAAACACTCCACTGGGACCTTTTTTTTTCTCCACTACAGTAACCAGTGTAAAGTGATTCTATTAACTCTTGTGATTACTTGAAAGCAGTCAGGGCATGCAAACTGACAACCGACCTCTGTGCCCATGTATGCACTGGGCTTAGGTTCTTGGATTACTTTAGTTATGAATTTCAATTTTCTGTTGGAACTGTACTATTATATTGCTATCATGAACACTCTGTAATTTAAACATTCTATACCACAACCTGGATATTCTTTTTTTGCAAGACAAGCTAATTTACCCTCTGCATGAAACTTTCATGTCTCATCTGTGTACATAAATTATACATGAAACATCTGGACCACAGGATAAAACTAGTTTGCCTCAAATAACAAGTGCCATGAGTCTGCTTGTTCTCCCATTGAATTACTCATAAGTTCTTCCTACCTAAAGGCTTCTTAAGGCACACACATTACTTCACAAACATTTCTGAAAATACAAGCTACTTATTTGGACTTAACAAGGAACAGAATAGCAATACCCTGTAAAGGACTTGCCCACAGGTATCAATATGTTCCAATGTAGCTACAGTAAACAGCAGCAAAGTGCTTCAGAGTTCTGGGTCAAACTCAAATTTCCATAACTTCACAGGAACATATACAACCCACTTAACTTTGTGAAACTGTTCAAAACACTTTTGTTCCTGAGATCTTGCTAACTCTTAGTAGACATATCAAGCTACATGCCACTCATACCAGGCTAGCTATCACAAGGGCAAAGGAAGCTGTCTGGAATTACTGTTATGTGATCAAATTCACAGCGATGCAAGCTATGAAAGTGTAATTCTGGGGGACATGATGAGCAACACTTATAAAGAATGGTATAGCAGTAACTTACACACTTAATTTAGCACCAAAATCTGTAGTGACGGTTCTCAAGTTTCTACAGTTCAGCAGAGCTACTTTTAAATCACACTAAAGCAAACACAAGGATTTAGAGAAACTTCAATGGTTTGAATTGCACCCCAATCTAATTGGGAGGGTTCAATTTCCTTTCACCAGGTGAACACAAAGATGCACAGAAAAACTACTCAGCTGTTACCTGTGTCATGTCCAAAATTCAAGTTTGGCTGAGCAATAGGTTGATTTCAATTAATACTCTAGATATGACTGTTTCACCAACTGGACAGAAGGCTGCAAGCAGACTACCCAGTTAGCAAGTAAAATTCATATTCTGAATTCTGCAGTCACTATACAAGAAACATGTGAATGGATGCCACGAGGCAGGGGTCAGTTGTTGCTCTGACTTTGACACTGCAGATGTGATTGTTACTGTCACATTTGAGACTTAAGACAATCTTTGACAAGGCACAGTTTACAAAAAAAAAAAATAATTACAAATGAATACATTTGAGATCATAAAATATGAAAATGCAACAAAGCAACATTAGAAAGACACTGAAAACATCAGTGCACACAATATACAGAACTGTACAAGCAAGAGTCAACCTAGTGGTCACAAGGGAGTTGTCTCATGACATGAAGTGTGAGACATGGGCAAGGAGAAGAAGCCCTTGCCATGTGAACCAGGTGCTACAATGGTGACTTGTGTAAATTAATATATTTTATAATTCTGTAACTTTGCACTTAAGTTTTTAAGTTTTAAATGTAAGTTTAATAAAGAATCTTGCAATAACAGGCCAATGTTAACTTGAGCAACTGACTGAAGTTTTATTTGAAAACGTTTATTGATGTCTGATAACCTTAAAGATAAAAACATGTAGCTGTAAGTATTAAGTAACTATGTAATTTATGACTGTAAACAAGGTTGTAGTAGGCAATGCATGCACACGTGCACACTTACACACAGTATAACACAATATGACGCTCAAATATAATATTTCAGTACAAATGTCTTTAGGTGATGTGAATGCAGAACTTAGATTGAAGGAGACAAAATACATGCTTGAATATAATTGGAATTAAGATAATTATGTGAGGTCTGAGGTTCTTGCAGTGGTGATTATGAAGATTACTGTTCCTGGAATGACACCATTCTACCAGACTACATGGCATCACTCCCAGAAGATAATTTTAAAAGAAAACAACTGTTTACAGGTTTGCAAAGTGGTTTAGAACAATTCTAGATGTGAGAGAAATGTTTATTTGATCTCTATTGAACAATAAGATTTATGAAGAAAGCTGAAACATTAACTACTGAACAGTTCATCAGATAATTCAAAACTGATTAAAGACAATATGAATGAATGAATGTATAAGGGGTGGGCATTCTTGGCCCTTGTACCACGACCTACAGTGATCTATTGTGCTTCCCATTCTGATTATCCCCTCAGACAATACAGAATTATTTCAAGTCCCTCCCGACTATTGGAGGAGGCAAGTGATTTAAGTAATAGATTATCACTGACAAAAATTCATGAACTGATTGCTGACTGGGGAAAAGAGCACTATGCATATGAAGAGAAATGGCAAAAAATATTTAATGACTTTAATAGAATTTAATCAAAAATGAAAGGCAATACTGACAGCATCATTAAACAAGAAGAGGAAGTTAAAATATGTGATGCACACTACAATTATGATAACATGACAGAAAGATATTCTGCCATAAAGATATTTTCAGAATCAAGTCATTCAATACAATTTCTGCAATTATGGCTTCTTTTAATGCAGCATATATCCACTGCCATGATTATACTTTGGTGGGACCCAACCCAAACAATAATGACAGTGTGAGCTGTTATCAGCAACATTGCACAGAATAAACAGAAGTGTCTCACAATTGTATTAGACCAGAGACAGACAATAAATGGGAAGAAGTATGCCAAGCAGTTACTGATATCTACTGATGTCAATGGACCCTCAAGTCAATCCCTATTCATGGGATCCATCACATTTCTTTTCCCCCCACCCCCCAAATAATGAGATGCATGATATCAACTTAAGATGAAACTGGATATATTAAAACCTCTCCTGTAATTCAGTTTTGGCAGTGAATATGTTGCCAATATTATGTTTTGGGACATTCTCCAAAATGTTGTGTTTTCAAAAATAAACAGGATGGTTATTAAAGACAAGATTATGGATGACGTAAAAAAACATAATATTTATACTACTGTACCATCGTCACAAACTGTTAGATCATAAATTTTACAATACCAATTAGAACACTTTTTAAGAAACTTAGTATACTGACCAAAAATGAATCCATTTTTAACTACATATTCAGCAATAGTGTAACATAAATACTATTGTATTTAAGCATCCTGTTCCACGAATACACTCTTCATTCACACACTACACTTCTGACCACAATGCAATCTGTTTATTGTCTCCCTCTCTTTCCGCTCCATGTTTCGGCCATATACAGCTACCAACAGGTGTTACTATTTGCTAAAACTGTTTCACTGTCCAGTATGTGCAACTTCATATATCACATGTAAATGTGATATCTCCCACTTAAAATAAATTACTCTATTAAAATTCCTGAAATCATTAAAAAACAATTAAAACTTCAATATTTTTGCAATTCTAGCAATTCGTCAGTACATAGACATATTTCATCTTTCCAAATCACTGCTGAAATTGTCTCTCATCAGTGCATGTATGTATACATGCATGTCAATGGCAAAGTGACGTAATGATCACAATTGGAATATGATCCTTTCATGCCAGCAAGGAACCTCATATTATTATAGGGTCAATGTTTATAACTAACATCAGAAGGAAAGTATTTATAGGGTAGAAGACAAAATTCCAGTATGTGCTAACTCAAAGACACATACACTATTGCAATGCATGTGCCAATAAAATGTAATCACAAACGATGGAATTCAGAAAATACCATGCAAGCAGACAGCTTTGTACCAGAATCACATGACCCCTGCCATCACGGTGTGCATATAAAACAAAACATATCCTAAAAATCAGTTCACTCTGTAATTAGAGATTCGTTGTTTCGCCTCATGCAACTGAGCAATGATTTCGGTTTAAACAGAGAGTGCTGGTTAACTTTCTGCTTCAAATAAATAATAGATTTTGAACATAAACACCATGGAAGAGCATATTTCTTTCACAAGATCTCATAACAGAGATCATGCAGCGTTAAATGAGATGGCTGTATTGTTATGAATTGCGAGGACAGGAGGAGGAAAATGTAATCAGTTACTCAAGGTTCAGTCCTAGAAATGACCTATGGGGGGGGGGNAGAGTGGTTTAATTACATTTCAGAATTAACAGATATTAACTCTTGAGTCAGCCACTTCCCCAATCTAGTTTTATATGAAGACAGACACCAGATCCTAACTCCAGTATCATCTTCAGATGAAATTATACAATACGATGAGCAAATAAAGATACGTGAGCGCAGAGCTGAGGACATAACTTCCACATACGTTCCTTTTTGTACTGCTATGTGCACTGCCACATTACTGCACCACTAACATCCGTTTGCAGCTTCTCAACACTAGTCCTATACAGGGTTCCCATCAAGCCAGAATAAGGAACGCAAACATCACATTATCATTGAACAGCTGCTGTGAGCAACTTGGTATGTAAATAAAATCATGAAGCTCTCAAGTTTTAATGTCTATGAAAGAGCCACACAAAAAAAGTTATATGGGTTACCAAGTTGACAGCCCTGTCTGCAATAGCCGGCTAGTCTGACTAGATCAAACGCTGTGAAGCTGTTCCATTAATCCCGATGGGTTTCGTGCAAGGATACAGTTTCCAGATTGCTAAGAACCCTGCTGCACTCAGACACCACTTTCTTATTGCCAGAACCTGTCACAACACTGATCAAAAACAGGTCATAATGATTTGCTGAAAGCTGCACCGGTGCCTATCTTCCTGTCCTTACACTCCAAAAATCAAGATGTGCCATATCTATTTGCATTCATTTTTAAATGGTTTCATTATCTACAGAATACAGCCCATGTCAACTAGGACTGTAATGCTGTTCCCAGTATACCGTTCCCAGTCCTGCTTCACATGGAGAGCTATGTCGAACAGGTCCATTGGGCTGAGCTAACGAACTGCTTGGTCGCAGGTTTGTATTCACCACTGGAGCACTGGCTGGATCTACGCACCAAAAACAGATAAAATACAAAACTGCGGTATGGCAAGCAGAGTCACTGTGGTTCCTGCAACATGCATATCTTTCTTAGTTTGTCTGCCAAATGTCCCGTTCTTCATGACATCCTTGCAGTACAATATGGTTCAATATGTAATCAAGTAACTGAGGAATAAGTACACGTTGGAAACTTAACACATTACATAAATGCAGTTATTTTACACTATTCAACTTCAAATGACAATGTAAGAGACAAAGAAACATGAATTATATAATTAAGTTGAGGGCAAAAGTATTGAAGTTACCTCATTATGTCAAAAGTGAATGGGTTGTATTAAAATTCAGCTAAAGTTATTTCAAACAATATTGTAACGTGTTTGGAGTAGGTACTTCCATGGTAGTGCAATAACAGTGAGCCGCTGCGTAGAGAATGGTGAAGCGATGAACGCGTCTCGCCAGAGATGAACTATAGAGAGTCTGTTGCACCCATTATGTGACGTGACTGTCGAAATCGTAGCAACGAATTGTCATTGAGTAACAACAAATGAGACGAGACACATTACCAGTGTAATCTATAGGGAGCATTCCCGAAGCAACGGATTGCCGAACACGTGAGATCGAACCTCGGCGAGGGGTGTCCTCTATTGAGTCCGCGTTTGCCTTATATAAAGGGCCTGGCCCTCGGATGGAGTATCGAGCATCGAGTATTGAGCATTTGAATACTGGAGCATTGAGTATAGAGAATGAGACAATCTTGGGATAGCCGCTGCCTGAGACAGCTGAGATCCAACCACGGCCAATGATAGTTGAGAAGTCGCATTGGGCCAGAAGTCAAGCAACACTGCAAGTGATCATAATTGTATGGTGTGTAAGTGTGAGCGTCCAATAAAGATTCACTAAATCCGAGACCCACGTGAAGTTATTTGTCGTCAACATACCCAACAAGTGACAATATTTAAAATAATGCATGAGATACAAGAAGAAATTTCATGTTCAGACAAACACGGCTTAATTTAGAGTCCAATCCAGAATTGTCCTACATGGTGCCATTTTTTATACAACAACAGTGTGTTAAAGAGCAGTGCAGTTATAGTGATGCACTTAAATACCTACATCCTGCAGTGTTCCCTTATTTATTTCACATGGAGTTTTAAAATAACAATTTATGTAGGCCACTTCATATTAAAAGAAAGTGGGTGATTTGTTCTTCCCAGAACTTCTTATATTAGGAATCAAGCAGAGTTCACAGAACGCTCATGAAAATAAAATTAAGATTATCATTGCGCAGTTACTTGATATTAAAACAGCATTAAGAAAATTTAGTTGTGTATTTTACAAGTTTCTTGATGCATGGGATACCAGATATTTGTTCAACTGTTTCAAGGGTACGAACAACAAATGTTCGACAAAATTTTGTTAGTTTTATATACATGCTCTTGCCTTGTCCTTAATAAAATAAAAAAAAAAAATTTCAAGCCACAAGCCAAACACTGAAACATGCCAAATTTATCAATTTCCAACTGGACTTAAAAAAACTGTAGCTTCCAAACAAAACATGATACTGTTAATTTTAAAAAAGTGAGTCAATCAGCACCATTTTTCATTAATCTGATAGTATCAAAATCTCAAAGTTTGCCATTTCTCTCATTTTGGTACATTTTCTAGAACCACTCACAATATAATGTACAGGCTTAAACACTATAAATGCCACAAGAATGTGAGGTATCATGTGTATGTCAAACATATATTAATTTTGCAACATGGACAAGGAAAAGTTAAGTGATGAACTTGATGTTTCCAGTGATACAGTTGATATTAAGACATAACAAAGCAAATTCATCTTTGCACAACTGTCAACAGGTTGTCCTGCCTGACTGTATCACAGCTATCATCACAGGCCTGCACTGCAAATCCCCTTACCCCCCTTCCAAAAAAAAAAAACAGAGGGTTGTTAACTCAAAATAACAAATATTGCAGGGCATGCACACAACTCTTGCTCCTCAGAAGCCTGTCCACTTTTCACTGTCCTAGCAGCACAGGGGGGATACTGTCACCATGATTTGGTAATTTAATTTGTGCATTCAATCTTTGAACAATTTTTTGCACCCTTGAACATCTAACAGCAGCTGAAATTTGGTGTATAATCACTTCTAGACTGGCCCTGTATATGAGCAAAATTTCATGTAAGGTTTAGAACTGACCATCTGGGCCATTCCCTTGTAACATGGTTGCTCATTTAGTCTGTGGTTGGGGGAGACTACACTTGTAACAACACTTTCATCTGTGGATAACAAGTGCTTCTAAATCCTTAGTTACCAAACATCAGTGACAGTAAAACAGAAGGAACAACTGTTATTATTTCACCATTAACATTTAACCACTACACTGCGAAATAATTACCCATGTTTTCTGGTGACAGCAGAAAAAGAAGTTTCTATTAACAAATACAATACACAAACAGCATACATCCTTATACGGTAAGTTTTCATTCAAGTTCTCCGAGGTAAAATAAATATTAAACCTGATCTGAATGTAACCTGGTTATCAAATACCCAATTCAGAAGCTACTGCTCCTGATACATATGCAGAATTGCATGCTTTAAAAATCAATCCAAATGGACAATGTATGGGGTATGCAGTAGTGTAGTTGGTTGAGGCGCTATGCTACAAGCCGCAAGGTCGTGGCTTCGAGTACAAATGAGGTGGATTTTTTCAATTTACCTAATCTTTTCAGGCACACTATTGCCCTGGGGTCAACTCAGCCTCTAAGAGAAATGAGTATCAGGAATCCTCCTGGGGAGTAAAGGACGGCTGACCTTTTTTTTTTAACGCTAGTGGGGTGGGACTAAGTCCCTTGTACTGAGGCCACTTCTGGCCTATTGTACCAGGCCCAGATGATAGGTGAGGGTGATTGTGGAGCAATTGGTGGAATGAAGATTGGCAGGGGAAACCAAAGTACTCAGATAAAACCTGCCCCAGCGCCACTTTGTCCACCACAAATCTTGCTTGATCAGACCCGGGATCGAACCCAGGTCTCCGCAGTGGGAAGTCAGCGACTAACCGCTCGAGCTATGGCACAGCCCTAAGGCTGACCTTACTGCTATCTGTTTAGAAGATGTGGGAGCCTCATCTCTCACAACTCTATGGGCCTCCATGGCCTGATACAGGAATAACTTTACTTTTTCCCTTTCCCTTTATGGACAATGTACAAATTTTCATTACAGGCTACCCAACACAAGGGTGTAACCTAGCCACAGTTTGCAACAGAGAAGGGACTTGTTAACCTGAGTTTTTGGGCACTGTCTTCTGGTATTTCAAGGACCCCCACTCTTCAGTGCTATGATATGCCACATGTACGACAGCTTCAAGTATCAGCTGGAGTATCTTAATTACTACTCTTACCTCCAATAGGAGGTGGAGGAGGGACCTTTCCTCCTCGACGAACCAATAACCTTACTGACGGACCTCCATTGCGGATTATTTCAATGGCTTCTGCATGTGTCATGTTCTTTGTGTTGATACTGTTTATTTCAATAATTTGATCACCAATCTAAAAGAAGAGAGTAACCATTATAAGGAAATGCAAAAATTTGGAGGCCTAGTAAATGGGTTTCCTGGATTCAGACATGGCAAAAGACATTTATGTACCACTTACCTTCAAGCGGCCATCAATGGCAGCTGGTCCACTTTCTGCGATCTGAAGGACAAACAAAGGCATATTCTGAAATTCTCGACCACCACGGATGCTGAATCCAAACCCTCGCGTGCCCCGACTCAGCTCTATGGCATGATATTGCTCTTCCTCCATTCCAATGTTTTCCTCCTCCTGCCAACGATATATAAATCAATGGGCACTTCATGTACTTCCGAGTGCTTTTATATCAGTTAATATTATAGGGATTGCAGGTAACAGGTAATCCCAGTGCACCTTTCAATAACAGAGATAATGGAAGATGAAACTTACGAGATTATCAAAGCTCATATTCTGCACATAAGTGGACCAAATTTTATTTTACAGAATGTTCAACATTACAATCATCAATAATAAAATATTCTGCGCATTGTTTAACAGTAAAACAGCAAGTCCATACAATATGCATATGGATGCATTTTGCAATAATGGCAAAATATTATTTGTAACTTGTAAAAAAATCATTTTTCAACTATTATTTCCATGGAGCTGAGCCCTTCTTGAGAATCCACTAGCTGTGAAGCTACTAAAAATTTCCCAACATTTTATGGAACCCAAAGATTAATTACTGTGTTCACAAGACTCATCTATTGGTCCCTATCCTGAGCCAGATCAATCCAGTCCATACCATCCCATCCTTATCTCTCTCAGATACATTTTAATATTATGGTCTTCCTAGTGATTTCTTTCCTTCTGGCTTTTCCCGCCAATATCCTATACATATTCCTCTTCGCCCTTTTCATGCTACATGGCCTGCTCACCTCATCCTCCTTGACTTGACCATTCTAATTATACTTGGTGAAGAGTATAAGTTATGAAGCTCCTCAGTATGCAGTTTTCTCCGTCAGAATTTTTCAATTATTATTTAAAAAATTTAAGCCCTCTAGTTATGTGTCATGGCAGCTCCTGGTGATTTCCACATTACTTCCCCAGGCTCTCCTATCAACGAAAAACACATATCTAGTTACTTACCCTCTGAGATACTGATGCTGTGCTGGACGCATCATCTGAAAAAGAAAATCACACCAGATGTTAAATCCATTAAAGATAAAATGCAAGATAATTAAAGTCTCATGACCATACAATGAATGACAATAATGCTGCTTTCCAAGCTGCAAGTTTGGTACTGCTGAAAGCAGGGAATTGAAAACTGGAATGTAAACTGTCCTCTCCAACTGCAAGTCCTGCCCCCCCNCTGCACTGTAATGTATCAACATTAAGGGCTGGTTTCAGATACAGCAACTGCCAAACACACTGTGCACACTATCGCCTTTTCTGGCTATGAACTGTAAGCAGCACATCGAATGTTTCAGTTTCAACATTTCTGAGCTGTCACAAGAATGCAAACCCTCAGGAAGCCTAAGTGGTACTGGTAAAAGGTACAGGTAAAGCTATCACTGCAACAGGCTTTCAACTTCCACATTTTCTAGATAGTTGGCTCAGGTTGTCAGCCTCACGCGCTGGCCACCTTTTATCCCCCAGGAAGCTTCATGGTACTCATTTCTATTAGAGGCTGAATCAAAATTGGCATTAACACCACCCTCGAAAAAAGCCAGACAGCAGTACTACTGGCTGCATGTGAGAAGTGGTGTTGAGAGGTGGTGCCAATAATGGGACACCAAACCTGGAGCCTGATATACGAGTGAAACACTGGGACAAAGAGGATTACCACTGATAATGCAGGACCTTTACCAGACAGCACTAGGGCAAACTGATGCCTCTTGACTGCCATGGACTACTTCACCAAGTGCATAAAGGTATACACCATCCTTACACATCGATGATGACCACTTTCTCCAGCTGCTTTTCGGTTGAAGAGAACTGCACAACAACCAAGGCCAGAACTTTATCAGTCATGACTCCTGAAAGTGTTACTGTGCATGGGAATCTGTAAGATGATGTGAACCAGCCCTTTGCGCCCACAATTGGATGGAAGGGCAAACACTGTGTAGACAGTAAAACAGCACCTGAAAAACATTGTTATCATGCAACAGAAAGATTGGGACTGGAAGCTACATCTCTTCTTGCTGGGCCACGGGCCTGATGTCCACCAGCATCAGCAGCTCCCCTGATAGAGAGCAACTCATGACCAAGTGTCTGACTGACCTTGCATAATGCTTGCATGACATCCATCAACATCTGAAGTTGGCCACTGACAGGATGAAGGCCTGCTTACGACTGCTGAGCCAACCTCACCAGATTCCATGTAAGAGACAAAAAACCTGGTTGCATTACCTGACCCAGACCACAGGAAAACTTGCAATGGCCTTTACAAGGTGGTCAGTCAGATCAATGTTGTAGCCTACAGGATCCAGCAAAGGCAGTGGTGACGCACTTGTACACAGTGGCACTGCATCTGGGGCTACTCAAGAGTGAGAGGCCTTGAGGAAGAGCAGTAACAACACATGTGAATTAGCAGTGAAGGGGTCACAAGGAATCTGTGTGCATCTTGAAACACGGATACCACCCTGCACAGACTATTACAAGATGTGGTGACTCAACTGTTTGCAAAGGCATCTGGACATTCAAGTTATAACATGTATAAAACTGCAGCTGCAACATCTCAGAGGACAATCTTAGGGTGAGTCCTGGTGCAGATGTGAGGCCAGTGTAGTGTACAGAGAAGCAGATGTGAAATTAGTGTGTGTGCTGTGAACTGTATGTAGTTCAGCGTAGGCAGAGGGCAGGGAAATGATATGGTGATATAACAAGTTTATACAAAGAAATGACATCAAGTTCATAAGTGATTACAATATGTGAGACTGCTCCAATTAGCAATAAATATTACAATACTGTAATGGGAAAACCATATACTTGCCCTACTCATGTTTTAATGTAAAATAATGTTCAAAACAGTAAAGCAATTACATGCATCAGTAAATACAGTATACATTATTTACACAGATCTATTTCAGTACTACTTGTCAATTGGCTTAGAAGTCATTGTGGAGAGAAGATACAAATACACCATTTCCCCTTACCAAGAGGAGGCCCTATTGTAAGCGTAACAGTGTAGCCAGAGTCCTTGATGAGGTTCACAATGTCTCCATGATGAAGATTCAAGATGTCCATGTGATTTACTGCCAGAATGCGGTCACCAACATGCAGCTGACCACAGCGCTCAGCAGGGCTGCCCTCAATAATGCGACCTGCGGTGAATGAAACGAAAGAATTCAACTAATTAGCTTCTCTGATGGCAACTGAAAAAGTGATTCACATTTTGATAAATTACAGAACTATGATCAAGTGTATATGTAGGGATTCAGCTAAGAGTTTCGTTATTTTGTTTCAGCAGTCATTTACCTGGTTTACAGTCAGTGTGCCATGACTGATGCATCGACACAAACAATATACCATTACACTGCTGCTGTGACAGTATGCGTGCAGTTAATTTCTGTCAACTGTTGCATACTTGTTCTCTGATCAGTCATCGGTGAGGATTCTCAAGGATTACATTAGGAGGAAGAAATCTTATGACAACTGTATTCATAAATTTGTCAGCAATACCAGATTCACCTTTACCCAGAAAACTGCATGTCTTAAAGAAAGAAAAAAAAAAGAGCACAAAACTCTGTCTAATGCCAATAGAATGGTCCATTAGTCAGAACAAGTACTAACACCAGAAACTTTCAGACATCAAAACAAAACTTCAGTAAAATAACGTAAATCAAGGCCCACATCACTGATGGTCCCAAAGAACTGCTGTCTCTAAACATCTATTCTTCGAGCCACTAAAATCTTGTTTCATTTTTATCTATGTCCAAACTTGAAGTGTTGAATATGGACACAGACCAAAAACAAATCATGCAATAGTGGACTACTTTCTTATGGGAGAAGCCAAACACTGACGGGTATCTTGCTTCATGCAGAGGCTTTTAACGAGTCTGCAAACAAAGGAAGGAACCTCTCTGTACATACTGCATTTACTATCTTAATTCATAAATAGGTGTGGTAGAGGAGGGTGGATAATCTTACATTCATAAATCTCCCAAGCAATTCTACAACACTGTTCTGGCACACTTTTATATCATTTATATAGGAAAATAATAATATACTAACCTATTGTGGAGCCTGCTTTATTCACAGATGAAATTATCACAAAACCGAACCCTTCACTTTCCCTTCTAGTAACCGTCACGTCGTATGGATAATAAATGTCTGCCCTTGCATAGCTGCTAACATCTGAAGGTAAACATAAACAAACATCAGTCTGACTATTATGATTTCACTTACTACACACATGTACAATGTTTCTTCATGCCTCTGGTACATTCACACGTCTGCCACTTGCAAACTGTCACAATTTCACTCAGAATGATCATCAAAGTGTATGTCTGATAGCTCTTTGCTCAAGCCCTAACATAAATGTAGTTACCTAAAGTGCGCTTGGTGGCAAGTCAATATTGAGACTGATATTATACTGACAACAGAACTGAATGCCTTTGCAAGATGGCAGCTTTTCATATATATAAGTAAACAAACATCAGTTTCATGCAAGTACACTCTTTGTATATGACAGCACTCTACAAAATTTGAAACAAATTTAATGTTGGAAAACTTTTGTTTTAAGAATATATTTTGGGGGGTTCCACTTAAGTTTCCTGTAATGGTGTGAATGGAATTTTGTTTTACAGAGTTGGAAAAGTAAACTCATCATACAGCAAACTGGGACATGGTCTCTCACTCTGACAGAACACAGATAAAGGGAAAGAACGCAATATTAAGGAGAATATCAAATACTGAGGAGTTCCATAATTTGGACATTTCACTTAGTAGTGTTAGTGATCAGATCAAAATTGAGAGCTGCAAGACATATACAAAGGTACCCTGTGCTTAATTAAGCACCAACTCAGGAATGATGCGTCGGGAGGTGGATCTTAACTTTTGGCACCAGATGGAGAGTGATTTGTTTTTAATCCTTACTGTTTTATTTCCAGAAAATGAGACCCCAGACTCAGTAGGCTCCACAGCTGGTCTCGATGGTGTTGGAGACATCCCTGCCTTTTCCTTGAATGAACCCTAATTCTCCAGCTGTCCAGCCCAGTCTTATTCATCACAATGACTGCGCTATCTGGCTTACCAGAAGAAACAGCAAATATGGCAACCAAATAAGAAGTTCTGAGAAGAACTAACCACCTACTTTCATTTCACTACATACGGAGTATTTGATACAACATGGATCACATAAAAAACGTGTCCAACAATTCATATATTGCTGCATGTGTATCTGTTGCCACGGGAACATGATTATCGAGCCATAGCCTAACAACGGCTGTCTCTTCTGGCTCCACTATTCCAGCTAGCTAGAAGGGGGGGGACACATACAGAAACAGAAAGCTAATCTCATATGCCTACTTTCACTTTTTCTAAACAAGGAAAGTATGCTGAAAAGAAATGCACTCAAAATTTTGGTTGGAAAACTTCATGTGAGTAATCACTTTGGAAATCTAGTTAAAATGAATACAGCTACAATATGAGGAATTGGGTAAGAAATAATTAACTCAGCACAGGGTACAACTGTTTTCAAGTTGACATAAGAAACCATTTTGTTCTGGAGAGAGCTATCATCTGTTCAAAGACACCAAACAGACTTTTAAACACATCCATCCTCAGAATGAATTCTTCTGCACTGTGACATGCAGTCTTGTAGGTGGTCAGCAATGTCTGAAGGGATCCTGCTGCAGTAAGACTGGTAACAAACCATGAGACGACACGGTGTCACAACTGAGGACCAAAGTCCAAATTTTCACCACTATGAAAATCTCAAATATCACATAAAGATGCTCTCTCGTGCCATGCAAATAATTACCTTGTGTAGGAATACGCCTCCTAATTCCAAGAGTGACATGACCATTAGCTGCAGCTTTGCCCATGAGTTGCACCACATGATGATGAGAGGTACTGAGTACTGACTGAGAATCCACATTCACAATTTCATCTCCTGTGCATAACCTTCCATCTAGGTCAGCTGCACCACCTGGCACAATGTGCCCAATAGATACCTGGTGACAAGTAACGCAACAGTTACATACATTCCTGACAGAAAGTGAAAATAATGTTCACCACGGGTAGAATAATCATTCCATCATGCATGTATGTTCATATTCTTTTGAGACACTGAGTATGCTCCAAACTCATCATCTGGATGATATGCCTATGTTTTCATATGTACCATATGAGGTTCGATCAAAACGTATCAAGACTGAATCTGTCAAACTAAGGTATGACACAGGGACGAAAGGCTACCTCCCTCAAACTAGGATCCATCACTCGCTTTCTAATTTAATTTTCGTTCAAAATTTCTTAAAATTATATAATTCTTGCATCTCTATTAGGGGTGTCATCCACTTGCCCAAATGATATGGTTCTACCGTTGTGGCTTGGTGTTCATGTGTGGCTTCTGTTCCTTAGCCCATTCTGTGTGTCATCGTTTGTTCCTATTTGTATCTTGTTCCCTGCCCCTGTGTACATTGTTGTTAAGAACGTGGTCCCACTCAACACAGCTACCCATCTCAATTCTGTGATATATAAACCAAGACAGGAACCACCCGAAAGAGTTAGGATAACGAGACACTTTCATTAATATATACGAGAACTTGCACCTATGGACATGCACAATGTTCAAGGCAAAGACCATACAACTGAAGCACAAGTTAAAAACTGAAATTAAAATCAATGAACCAAATTCAAAAAAGGGCAACTACATATATTAAAATACACATTAATCCACCGACTTTACAAGCTTTGTAAAGACATCAACACCATACAAATAAACCCAAAAAAGTACAAAGGATTAAAATTTGTGTGTTTACAATTCCCTACATTCCTTTCACTGAAATTTGGGGGTCTGATATGAAAAGCAGGAAGAAAACTTTAGTAGGTATGGGTATGACATCAATAAAACAGTACAATTTGGGAGGGTGCAGTGCTGGTGTTGCTGATGAGAAGGATTTATGATGTATGCCATAGAGATGGCCTCAGGTGGCATCATACATACATATCAAATTTCAAGAATACTCGTACAGACATTCAAGCAGTATTAACATGTTTCACTAAGATTGGTATAGGCATCCAACCTATATTAATGGTTTGTCTCAGCAACCTGAAAGTCTGTAATGTTGGTATCACTGATCAGAGGGCATGCCCTTGAAATGGTCTCAGGTGGCATAATATACATATCAAATTCCATTATGATCAGTTCATGCATTTAAGTAACATTACAGTTATTATATTACTGATGGAAGGAAGGGATTAATGAACTACACCGTTTACATGAGCTCAGGTGTCACAATATACAGACTAAGTTTCATAAAGACTGGTAAAGAGTGATGATGAAGGCACAGAGGGTTTTGGTAGAAAAACCAGAGTGAAGCAGACTGTTATGAAGACCCAAAACTATGTGGGATGATAATATTCAAACTGATCTTGGGAAAATGGGTTGGGTTGGGTTGGTATGGATTGGATTAATCTGGTACAGAATAGGGGCCAGTAGAGTTGTGAACACAGTAATGAACCTTCATGTTCCATAAAATGTTTGGAAATTCTTGAGTAGATGAGTGATTGATGGCTTCTCAAGAAGGACTTGGCTCCTTGGAGTTATGACTGTTAAGCAGTGGGGAAAATTACGTCAGTAGCTATGGGCTGGCTTGAAATGAAGTGATATTTTGAGCAGACCTTACACGATCAGCAATAATGTCATTACCTCATCGGAATGACATTAATAATGATCGTATAAGGTCGATGGAACTGGAATGATGGTCAGTAACGATGTGAATCCGGATTTTCTGATTTCGAGGCATCATTACTGGCGCATGGTGGGGATACTGTCATTAGTAATGACCGCGTAGAGTGCGTGCATCATTACTCAGTTCGCTTTGTGGAGTCAGAGTGGCAATAACTAGACATGGACAGTGAAGTGACTTCTCTGTCACTGAATCCCCTATAAGTGAGGTGAATGCAGAAGAGGGCAAAGTTCTTCAAAACTTCAGAGACACATGAAGCCCTACCGGAACTGTGGAACCCCACTAACCCAGCATATTTAAATAAACTGCTGAATATATACGTCACACCAATTTCTTGTAGCAGAACATCTGAATACTTTTCACGTTTTTGTAACCAGTTTTGCATCCAGCGTCAGTGCTTAATACTTTGCTTTGTGCCTAATGCTAAAATTATAGCAACACATGCTTTTCTGCGATGATACATTATAATCCTCGAGAAAACTGACACAAAATAAATGTGCTTCTCTCTTGATGAGTCGAGCAGTACTGAAGCAATTAATGTCATTTCAAATGATCGTGTAAGGTTGAAAATTAATGAAGGAGTAATGAAGGAAGGTAATGACATTATTACTGATCTTGTAAGGCCCACTTTAGAGATGCATGAATAGCCAGACTGCAGAGCTGTCCCCTGTGCTTAACTACTAAGCACTATGCCATGAAAGTGTATGGTGGAGTGAAAGAAGCCGTCCAAATAATGGTATGCACAGCTAACGGTAGATGAGGCAAAATATGACAAAATTATGCTCTCGGACAACATGCAGTTACTTTTATTTCTAATTATAACATATTTCATGAAAATATTTCACTTCAGACTATAAATTTCATAATCTGTTAACAGGCTGCTGCATCATTCTACTACGTATGTGCATATATTTTCAAGATCTAAGAAAAGTGAAAATATTGCGATGGGCTATACTACCACCAATTACACCATGCCATCTACTGCCCAGAGCAATGGATGACTCTCTTCTCACCATGGATCCTACCTGGGAACCCTCTTCTGTCCCGCCGACAATACGGAAACCAAAGCCTGTCTCCTGTCGGACCAGAGAGACCAAAGTCTCTACCCACTCAACGCCAGGTCCGGCAGGATAAATACGAACTCCTGGACCAAGACCCACCCACCTCAAATCTCGAGGACACCTACAAACAATGATGAAACAGTATTTATACCCACAGCCCACACATGTATCAAAAGACATTTTATGTGCTTAAGCATATGACCTAGGACCTAGTTCTACAAATGTGGTCCACAAGTGCCTTTTAGATCCCAGAACCCTTTGCACCTTTGATAAATGCTGAAAGCAAATGAGACACAGAGGGAAGAAAAGAAAGCATAAAGTCTTTAAAATGATACATAGTGACTTATAGTAGATTCCAAAGGCTTCTGACAGTGTATGACACTAGTGGATGGAGAAATCCAAGAACTCAGTAATCCCACAGTGATTTCTGTACAGAACATTCAAATTCTTTATCTCAGCCAAAAATTATTTTTGGGCTAGCAATACTGATAAAATTCACCATTATAAATTGCTCTTCAGATTTCTCTGAAACACAGACTAAGAATCAGTGTTTCAGATATCCAACTATACACATTTGTTAACTCTCAATTGTTTGATACTTACAGGTTAAATACCATGCATGTTTCAATTTCTGTGTAAGAATTATACTTCTGGTGCCCACAGCCTCCACAGAAGTCTGGTTGTCTGAATTTTATCCAACAATGACCCAGTATGTGATGTAAACCAAGAGATAATCCAAGCCATGCAAAAATTATGTTCTTGCAGTGTTTCAAGTAAGAATAAAAAGAGGGGGAAATGGGGGGCTTTTGGATTTTTTAAATGGTTTATGAGTAATCAAAACATGGAAATGTGAAAAGTTAACAAAACCTCATACAGTGATTAATTTTTAAACACCTATATTCTGAAACCTACAGTAGTGAGTGAAGTGTAATTTTAAAGTTATGGAAATTAACTACGGCAAGACATGCGACCTTGTGAGGTTCTAGAAAGTCATCAAGGTTGATGAAATGAAGCTTTCAGCCCCCTCCCACAGTAAAAAAAGGTAAAGTTATCTGTGTAACAGGCCATGAAGGCCCATAGGGTTGTGAGATATTGAGGGTCCCACATTATCTAGACAATCGGCTCACAGATGGCGGTAAGTACCAGGAATATTCCTGGGGGGTTAAGGGTGGCCAGTGCTTATGGCTGACAGCCTCACCGCCATCTATGAGCCAACTGTCTAGAAAATGTGTGAAGCTCAACATCTCTTAACCCCATGGGCCTCCATGGCCTATTACATGGATAGCTTTACCTTTACCTAACTGGGTGATGAAATCAGACTTTTCACAATGAACTTCACTACCACACATTTCAATATTTCAAAAATTATTTTACAGACATTTCAGTGAAAATATGAAAACATATTTACCTTGTAACTGTGCTAGGATGTGGCTGTTCATGTTCAAAACTTGTACTTTCCTTCCTCTTATTGGCACTATCAGTGGCTGTATAATAGCCTGAACTAGCCAGGGCAACTGTACCACTAGGAACATTCTGCCCCTGAGATGGATATCCGGACGCTGGATGTGGATAACCAAAGTCCCTGTGAGGCAAGTAGCCTGAATGAACATCAGCATAACTATAAACATAGCCTGATTCATATTGCCCTCCATAGCCATTGTAATAAGGTTGTGGCATGTAATGACCAAGATAGTCAGTCGATGGAGGTCGATTATTTGGAACACTGGCATGATCCACTACAGTAGCCTCATAGGTACCAGTGAAAGGAGAATGAGCAGCATTCTCTGAAGAGTATGAATCTCCGTAATGACCGTCATGGACTTTGTTCCATGCATTCCTTTGCTGTAAAGCTCCGGAGTCTGGATTTGATTCGGGATCAAGATCTGGGTCCAAATCATTTTCGAGGCCCCTGCTGCGACTATAATCCCCTTGCACAGGTCGTACAGGGTCCTGGAGTGAGACCACGCCCAGGCGATCACTTAAGTTTGCCAACGGACTCCTCCCACCACCATCATATGGATCTGGGTAAGTAAATGCAGTCTTGTAGCCATCATATGGAGGAGTTAGTGGGGAAGAGGGACTCTTCAAAGAACCAATACCATCTGCCCCATTCTCATCACATTTTGACACTCCATTTCCACCCAATCCTATATCTAACGCTGCGCTATCTCCACCTTCTGAAGGTGACCATGGTCTCCTGTCTCGCTCGGAAGTAGGAGTTTTTGAACGGTTTCTAGTGTCCACTAACGGAGTTTTGGGCCTATTGGGAATCACTTCCTTCTGTTGTGTGCTGTAGAGGTCAGCTGTCGGTGTCTTACTACGATACATGCCTGCTGTTGAGCCGCTACTTCCAATGTTAGGTTTCCTGACCACAGCACTACCCCCTCCACTACTATTTGCACCACCATGACCCAGGGCCAATCCTGGCTCATCCTTTTTCCGAGGTTTGTTCTTACCAGGTGAGCCTGGACCTCCTCGTTGTACCGTCACTGTTGCTTCTTGATTCCTTGAACAATCCTTGAGCACTTGAACCACTTCACCATGACACATATTCCGCACACTAATTGCATTGATATCCACCAAGATGTCACCCTCCATCAAGTTCTTACACCTTTGCCTGTCAAGAATCTTCTTCACTTTCTGGCCATATGCACTGTCAGCTATAGTGAAACCAAACCCCATAGCACCTTTCACAATAGATATACTAAAAAACTCAGGCTTGTTCATTCCAGGACCCTGGTCATTAAAATCACCCAAACCTGATCCATCACTTAACAGAACATCTGTGCTACTTGGACGCTGAATATTCTTTATTTTCTCAGCCGTGCACAAATCTGGCATAGACCTGACAGAACTGTTCACCAAATCTTCTGATCCATTGTGAGGATGAACACCATCTGAGGAGACATCCAGGAAGTTGTAGCCTCTGCCTTTCAGACTGCCATCATGATCCAAGTATAGACTTGGGTCTGCATCTGCAACACACAAAGAAGAACGATTTTCCAGTTTATTTACTGGTTTGCAAGAGACAAGCTTTTACCATTCTCACGGTCTTGTCGCTTGCAGATTTCTTATACTTTTTCTTCTACCATGAAGATAGAGGCGATACGTTCCTCCGAAACGTCGGTTAACACCACATATACACGGTGCCAAATCCCAGAAGACTGCTTTCTTCTGAGGCACTGTTTATCTCAAATTATGAACTTTAAATCAATCATAATTCTGCCATCAGGGCCTTGAAGTAGAACTTACATTTTAATCATTATGCGTTGCATCCTGTTGTGTGACCAGAGAAAAATGAATTTTTCGGGCCGCAGCCTAACAAAGGTTGAGAACCACTGCTTTAGAGGACCTTAGACAAGCACCAGACTAAAATGTCAAAGACCGCAAAACACAAAACAGATACTGGAACAGAATGACAGACAACTGTTGCTATGCAACAGCTTAGTAAACACGTTCCCACAGTTATGAATACACACGCAAATAAGATGCGGCGGGGTGGGGGGGGGGCACAGTGGACCTCATGAAGTCTTTGTTTTTTCAAAATAAACAGAGTCATACCTTTATCTGAACCATAAACTAGTCATTGTCTGTCCATCATCATCAGTCTTGGTTGTCCTTGTCCTTGGCATCATCATCATCATCTTCAGCAGTAGAGTCCAAATAACAATTACTAACATTGTCACAACCTGCATCTGCTGTTATTGCTTTTAAAATTCTTTATTTTTCTGTTTTGCTGCTTCTCACATAGACAACAATTTTAAGATTGCAGTGTCTTTCTTTAGATATTTAAAACATTCAGTTACTGCTGGAAGTGCTCAGCATTCCAGAAGCAAAGCATATTCTCACTAATGAACCATTTTCTCTATTGAAATATGTCAGAAGGTCCCTGCACTGACTCCCATGTACAGCGCAACTGTCTCGTAGTTTTCTTCATTCCTTCCGGGTAAACAAAAACAGAACTTGCAGCCAAGACACATACCTGGAGCATTCACAGCAACAGTTGTGACCACTTCCGTATTTGGGTCATTAGGATCGAAAGGTAACGGATAACCACGGCATACCTCCAGTGTAACCGTCTCTGCTGGGCTGATGGACTGGAACATGCTCACCATGTCATGATGTGTGAAGCCCAGCACACATGTCTCATTCACATACACCAGCACATCACCTGTGTTCCAACAGACTCTCAGTTATCAACGAAACCTTACACAGAACACAAGTTGATGTGAATCACCTTAATTACAGATAATCTGCACATCCCTTCATACTTCTGAGAAGGACTATTACAATATGTGCCATATGTAAAGGGAGAGAGATATACAATGCACTGTATAATTTTCTAGGTTTGTGTATTAAATCCCTTTTATGAGGGACTGCTTAGATTTGACAAGAGAAACGTAGTCTCGATAACAAGGAACAATTTCGATCAGATCTCTCAACCAAATAAGCTGAAGGGTTATCCGGCTACACCATAACACACTGTTGTCTACCAGTACATCACCAAGCCACATTCAACATGTCACCCTGAACACAGTCTACTGAAATAAGTAAAGTTGTCCCTGTGCTCAAGTGATTAAGCACTATGCCATGAAGACGTATGGGGGAGTGGCTATATAAGGCCACATTTTCTTGACCTTGGCACTAGCTGGAGGTGTGGTCAGCCTCATGCCCCTGCCACTTTACCCTCAGGGGATGAGCCCCTGGTACCCATTGTATAGGAAGCTGAATGGGGCCCAGAGCCTGTCTGGATGATGTGAAGAAGAGAAAATTCTTTACCCTAGTGGGACTCGAATTCTGATCCCTCAGGAACACATTCCATTATACCAATTAATTCTTCAAGCTCGTACTACTCCAGTACAGCAATTTCTGACTTCAAAAACACTTTTGGTCTCCATCCATTCTTCAAAACCCCAAAAGATTCACTAAAACTCTCAAATACAAACAGCATATATAATGTTCAGACCGAATAGAACAAAAACCATACACATAATGAGAGTGACAACACAAGAATATTTGTGCTGACAAACCACTCTGCTAAGCAACTTTTCCAAGGACAGCATGACAGAAGCTGCACACAATTTAGGCAAGTTACAAACTCCTCAAAGTTATGTGTACAATCTAATAATACTTCTGTCTGTTCTGGATTTTTTACATCACCTTCACGACATTTACAAATACTTTGGGTTCAAACCCAGCGGAGGTTGTGGAATTTTTAAGGGTGGAAAAATTCAGGGAACAAGTCCTCCAGGAGGGACTTTAAGCCGTGGGTCCCGTGTCGTAGATTTACGGCACGTAAAAGATCCTCATGTCTCTAGGAGACCTCTAAGCAAAATTAGGCAAAGTTTGCCGCCCAAGTAGTTTCCAATGCCTCCGGTAGATGGGGAAGTATCGGGAACCACTGCCAGTTTCGCTGGCTGAACGGGGCTGATGGTGAGCACCAGTACCGGCAGGGTATGGCGACTGGTAGATTATCAAAGGGGGATGTACAATAGACTATTAGTCACGGTGCATGGGGAAACCCACCCCCTCCAATAATAACAATAATAATAATAATAATAATATGAGAAGGGAACAATTCTTCTTCAAAAGAAAATGGTATGGCCTTCAAATGTGAACATCTGTCAGGGTAACTGATTTTAGTTAAGAACTTCTTAGGAGGTGTTTATCTTATGATAAATTTGTACCTAAGCTAGTAGAGAAGGCTGGAATCAGATCTCTTTCTTGAGCCTTTTTTGTTTCAGTATATTAATGTATAAGGAAATCAATATAAATATCACATTCATACAATCTGACATCAGCAATGTCTGTAACAGTATAAAATGATCAACACTCATTGAGGTACGTACCAGTCTGGAGTTTGCCATCAAGCCAAGCTGGGCCATTAGGAACCACAGATTTTATTTGCAGAAACTCTTCTTCTGTATCATCACCTCCAACAATGGTGAAGCCCAAACCACGAGAAGACTTTATAAGTGTTGTCCGAATGTGTTCACCATTCAGTTCATTTGGATTTCTCGTAAAGAAAGCTCGTTCAGAATCTGGAAGCAAGTGCTACATGACTAATGGCTGATAACAAAAATAACCAACCATTCATTTTTCTATACTGCAAACACTGTTCAACAGAGCTTGCTTCAAATTCCATAAACTCACTGTTTGGGTGTTTTGAAGTTCCTGAGTGGTTACTGACAGCCGGCCGTGGTCCAGGTATAATATGGGCTTTCCTTCCCTTTTGATCATTTGAGCCTGTTACAAGAAGAAAATTTAGTTTTCCTGTGTGTCAACTCTATATACAAAACCCTACAAACATAAAAATTCAAAGGATGTGCCTCTTCTGACCTAGCTTTAATGACAAAGAGATTGATGCCTATACCTTGTTAGGCCCACAGAAGTTCAAATTTGAGTTGCACGGAGCCATCTACCTTAGCAAATATGGGAGTGTCTGTCTGGATGTTCGCTGCTGTTTTAAGAACAGGACATTTTATTTGATAAATACAAGACAACTCAGTTAAAGGAGGGCCTGAATTAATAATTAAAAATCATACAATAATTTACCAGTCAAAACAAAATTCAGTTAACACTGTCCCGGTGCCCAGCATGTTCAGGCCATTATCTTCAGCCTGTAATTTCGCATGTTATGTGGTGGAATAACGTATATGAATCTGAAATGCTGTATCAGCCTGTGTCGCCATGCAGAGAAAAATCCATTTCATCATTTTCTGTAACCCAATTATCTCCACATCTACCAACGTTATGTACTCAACAAATTTTGTTTTCATCAGTAAATTAATATGACATTTACAATTGCTAATTTGGGGCCTCATCCAAGTGATTCAACCTGTGTCTGTTTTGCCATGTGTTTCAGTTAAAATCATATGCTCAGGCAAAATAATACAACATTCATATTGATATGATACATATCATACACATCTATTTGTTTCAGTAATTTCAGTTCATTATCTGGGGACAAAAGTCTACATAAAAAGAAATCAAAGAGAATCAATATATTCCTTTACTAAGTAATTCTCATAAAGAGGTTCAAATTAAGTTTTGCTACCTCTTCCTGTACTCAACACTTACTAGTGCCGTCCTGAGCCGCCCGCTTGGCTTGGATCACTGGATTTTCATACTGCGTCCTTCTGTTAACATGATCTATGTAGTAAGTACCATAATGTGGATCGTCGATTTTCTCCCAACCATATGGCAATTCATCATCCAAGCATTCTTCTAAGGACTTCTTTTGAAACTTGGAGAGCCGTGGGTCCAACCAGTGGGAGGTACCAGAGTTATGACTGTAACATTCAAACGGGGAGAATGTCTCGTAGCAATTAAGACTAGAATACATAATTACAAACTGAGGATACAATTTTTCGAAAAAGTGAATGGTTAATTACACCACATCCACAAATTTTCCAGCATATGGACAAATTAAGTTTCTTTACTAATTAACTGCACTGAGAAGAGCCCTTCTTGAGAAGCTAACAGTCACTCAGGTACTCACGAAATTCCATGCATTTTAAGGAACCCACAACTTCATTACCATATTCATAATAGCTCAGCACTGGTCTCTGTCCTGATCTAGGTAAATACAATCCAAACTCTCCCATCCTACTTCTTTAAAACCCACTTAACATGATTCCCTCAAGTATGTTTTGGTCTTCCAATCGGTACCTTAACTTCAGGTGACAATGTTGTACACATTCATTACCCTACATATGCTCCATGGTTTGTCCATCTAATCTTCCTTGAGTTCAGCATCCTAATGTTTATCAATAATGGATGCTCAAGAAGGAAGCAGTGGGCACGAAAGGAAAAACATACCACTTTAATGGGGGTGGACTGTTTCAGCCTCCCTGTGTTTTCTGTTTGGACCGATGTACAAGGTGGTGACTTGCTGCATTCAGGTATCCTTCAGACTGTTCATGCCAGCCACCAAAACAAGACTGAGATATGAATGTACACTTTAATATCAGAGTTCTGCAGTTTGAGGTGTGCAATGGTCCAGTGTTTACAGAAGGGGTATCCATGGTTGGCAATGGTGATTGACATGAGGCACAGTGTAATGAAAGGTAACATAAGTCTCAGTGCAGACAGCAGCCTATGATGTGGTGACGGGTGGGGTCTGCTTTTACCTGAGAACCCACCTCAATTCCTTGAAAGTGGCAAAGAAGAGATAAATATGATCTCTCATCCGGAAACAATAAACAAGTTGTCACTGGAAGGGTGGGCTTGGTTGCAGTTTATATTGTGGGGTGGGAAGGGACAGAGCTTCACCATGGCCACTCTCACCACAGCTGCCACCTACCAGGCTACATGCACATCTCTGGTGAGTATGTCTGAATATTTGACATTTGCAGCATCTCAGTGGTGGATTAGGAATGTGTGGTTACAGTGTGACAATTTCATACCCAGCCCTGATGATGGTAGGGAGGCTAGGAACTTCCAATGTTAATAAAATGGTTTCTCATCTTTATTATAAGCCTGTATGCTCTGGTTGGCAAGGGGAATGTGAACCTCTTCATCTACTACTCAATCCAGGGAGTTGGTGTTAACAACTCGCCTGGAGGAGATGAGAGAAACACAACAGCTGAGGTGGAAAGTGGAAGAACCAAGACCCTAATATTTCAGTAAGGATTCTCCTGCTTATCACTGAACTCCAAGAAGAACATACCATTTTTAGACGAGATGTGCTCTTCACTTTTCTTGTAATTGCAATCAGAGCCCTCTGCATACAGAAATGGTTGATTATATCCTAAAGGTTTCTGATGATGGTTTATAATACTTAGAATTATTGGGTTTTGGACTTTGTCCATCATCCGGTACTCCAGAAGCTAGAAAACACATTTCAGAAACTGGATGTTTCCATCCTCAGGTGAGGGACCAAATGATTGAGGTTAGCTCTCTAAGGGACCCAACACAGTAGGTACCCCCCTTCACCCAAAGACAGAAACAGACCCAGTTTCTGAAATGTTGCATTTTCTAGCTTCTAGAATAATGAACAATGGATGAAGTTGGAAAACACAATAAATCTGAGAAAGGGTTCATTCGTCTCAAGGTTGAACATCATGTAAAAACAAGATATCAATGCAACAGCAGGGACCTTGTGTCATTTAAATACAGGTGCAATGGCAGACTAGATGCCATTTAAAGATATCTTCAAAGGCATTATATGAGATGTTACAGATACTGAAAATCTCATATCGCTTACTTATTCTACCTCCAGTTCTTTATAAGAAGAAGCCGTGAATCTCCAACATCCAGTCTCATTACTGTCAGGCTGAAGCCCATTTCATACTGCACACTAACTGCATTACTGGCTCTGGGGCCCACCCAGCCTCCCATCCAATGGGTACTAGGGTCTGTTTCCCCTGAGGTAAAGCAGCAGCGGCGTAAAGCTGACCACTCACCTTCATCTAGTGCCGAGATCAAGAACAGTGGAGCTACACATCCATGCACCCATCATGTTTTCATGGCAAAGCACTAGTTAAGCACTGGGCCAACTTTACCTTACCTTACTACTGCATTACACATACAACAGCCAATTCATATGACATTTCAGTTCCTAATAAAAGATGTACCTCTAACAAGACACTTAAACATTTCTGCTAATACATGCTCTCTAGAAATATTAATACTGATACATGTGATTACAGTTACTCACTCTATGAAGTACACTTCGCCTCTCTCGGTATAAGCTTTCTCCCAGTTCGGCGGCAGAGGTCCCAGATCCGAACGAAGAGAGTCAGATCCTTCTCCAGCATGGAAATAACTTGGGGGAGTTCCCAAACCTAGTACCTGGTCCCCTTCACTACTGCCTCCACACGTCCCTGAAGATAATGCACAGTGAACAGTTAATTGTTTTAATTGTGAAAGTGTATTTATTTTATCAGTATGCCTCTTTCAAATCAAGGGAAAGTGGCAAAATAACTTAATAAAAGGCATAAAATTATCACCACCACCTGAGAACTAGAGACACAAAAGCAGTTGAGACAGTAATGGCAAACACAAAAAATAAGATAAACTTGACAGGATTCTGACGATGGTGTATACTGTACTTCTTTTGGCTTGTCCAGTGATTGAGACTAGCTCTTTCTAATGGGCCCAACTGAGTAGGTTTATCCTTCCCTGCCCACCTGAAGATGGAGACAGATCCAGTCTCCGAAATGTCGTGGTCTTTTTTCTTTTGCATACCAGACGATGAAGTCCAAAACAAGCCAAAAGAAGTACAAAAAATAAGCTAAAGCAAATGCATAAAGAAAACTGAAAAAGAGCAGAAACACAACTGTTCATGTGAATAACCACATCCTTGGAATCATACGGTGACATGCGAGATCTTTACTTCATGATTAGTGTAAACTGTGGCAGGATAGAGATGAACCAACATCTAAAGGAGCCAATGGGAAAACCAAAACTTTGGCAGGAATGGATTAAAAGATCAGGGTAGAAAAATCACTTCAGGTGCTGGCTGATCATTTTGACGAAAAGTCAGTGTAGTGGTGGAAGAAACTACTCATATGCCTTTCTGACCTTACGCTTGTAAATTCCTCATTTTATTTCAAATGAAGAGTAATGGAAAATCTGTGTTTTACAAATTTATGGATCAAGTAGCAGGAAGTCTTTGTCATGTCATGCATGGGCTGAAACTGCAGAGCAGCAACAGAAAAGTTTGGCTGAAGACTTGTAAGCAGAGGTAATTTCATATACAAAAATTCAGTAAGGGACTCAAAATAAACAGATATGTCGCAGCAAGTCTGTAAAGTGCATGAAAGCAAAGTAAAGCATCACACCAGAAAATCAACCAAGAACCTGACAAGTACAAATGAGGGAAGGAGGGATACCTTTTATGAAAACAATTATTTTTTTTTTTGCGTTTAAAAAGAACAGTCTATATGTACACCAACTATGGCAAAAACTGGATGCAAATTGGGGGAGGGGGGGCTGAAGATACTTGAAATTCGCAGCTGGCAAGGGACTACAACATCACACTCTTTTTTAAGTACCATTACAGCTGCAGATGTGTTACATTCTTCAACAATCTCCAGTCTGGTGGCTTTTCATCATTTTCACACTTGAGCAATTCTCAATTAACAAGCCTGCTTAATCACATGCATCTGGCAGCCAACACTCACACTTCCTGTAGTGCTGATATGCATCACTTGCTCTTTCAACATAACACTCAACACAATCACTTACTAAAATCATTACTTCAGCTCACAGATTTGGATATGGTAAGAACCATGAAAAATGCTTCCGCTAATGATATGTACAAGTATTTTCCAGTTGTTCAGTTATTACAAATAAACATACTTCTGACTGAACATTCAAATACAAGCAGCAGCAAAATTAATAACACATAAGAAAAATTACCATCATTAACTAGGTTATGCCCGCCTGTAACTTCTGGCTCCATGTTCTTAGCTGCCATAGCTTCTACGTTGGAACGGTTGCGTTTCCGTTTTCCCTCAGAGCTCGGATGAGCACCAGGAAAGAGTGGTCCCAAAGGCAGACCAGAACTCAAATTAGTGTTGGAGCCACTACTCTGAGGTGGTGAGACTGGGGGTTCCTGTGAAGGCTTTGGGGTACCATAGTGATTTCCTGTCACAAGAAACAATGTCTCAGGACAGCAAACACAATCTAGTTATCACAGCACTAGAAAAAATACAGATGTTTGCTATAGCATATAATGTCTACTGGCAACCTGGAACGTCAAACGATAATTATACACTCCTTTTATCAGGAAGAGGTCAAGGGATATTTTACATATGCAACACAGGAATTCCGAATGAAAGGAGAATGTTTCTGAGATGCCAACTAGTTCATACAAGATCATACAGATGATGGGAAGCGGCTGTGCTCACAAAACAAGCTGATTCAGTTTACTGGATGTCATTATGTGACACGCGATCTGGACATTTCATTACTTCGCCTGTTTGTGTAGACAGCAATGACATAAACGCATGGCTGTCTCTTAACATGTACAGCTTTGTCATGTCCATATAAGTGTAATTCTGGAACTTCTAACATAGTAAATGTTAGGTACAGGTACAGTTACCTCTGTACCAAATTATGTAATTAAGCACCATGCCATGAAGGCGTATGGTGGAGAGGAGGGACGAGATCAGCCTCATGCCTCTGCAGCTTTACTCTTGGGGATGCAGCCCCAACATCCACTGCACAGAAGGCTGGATGGGCACCATAGCAGGTCTGGACATAATTATGGAGAAGAGTAAAAAATCTCTTGCTACTACCAGGAATCAAACCCCAGCTGCCCAGCCCATAGCCTAGTCACTATACCAAATGACATATGGCAGCCCCCAGTACATATAATTTAAAGTTTAAATACTTGAAAAAAAAAAGGACACTCTATAAGAAAGTAACAAATTAAGTCATTAATTCTTGGAATTGGGTGACATTGAGTCCACTTGGTACATCAGCCCATTGTACCAGCCCTGGATGATGAGTATGGAGCACTTGGTGAAATGAGAATTTGCTGGGGCAACTGACGTGCTTGAAGAAAACCTGCCCCAGTGCCACTTTGTCCACCACAAAACAAATGCGACCTGACCTGGAATTGAACCCGGTCACTAACCGCCTGAGCTTTGGCACGGCCACGTAACTTAACTATTTACTGTAATCTGTATTACTGGTTGAAGAATTAGTTTCATGGCAAGGCATTTTTGTCACTCGAAAGTATCACGAGTCAGTAGAACTGTCAGTTCCATTAACAGAGCTACACACTTTAAAATTTATTCAGCTACTTCAGGTAATAGAAAAGTCACACCTTGAGGGAGGTTAGACAGAAAGAAAGAGAGGGACAGGAGAGAGGTGAAAGCAAGAGAAAGACTGAAAGAAACTATGAGAAGAATTCTGTCTTCTGGGATATAATGCTGCATAGTCAAGTGCTTCCTGCTTCACGCTGGTTTCTCTCTTGGCTACTCTTCCAACCCTGAAGATGAAAGTGATTTATTCCTCTAAACATCAACTGACTTACACAAGACTACTCAGTACTATATCCTAACAGACAGATATCTTCATAGCTAACACTATGAGAACCTCATATCTGACAAATAAAAGCAGAGGCAAGCCTTACTATGGTATTTATCATTACATAAAGTGCAAATGAAAATCAGAAAGATAAAGACAAAGAATCAAATACATAAAATAAAATCTTATTGTACCTTCATAGATGCCACTTTCAAGTAAATTTCCACTTCTCTCTAATGCCATAAACTCCTCAGTGCTGAGAAAAGTGTAATCAATACCATTCACTTCACCATCTCGTGGTGTGCGAGTTGTAACTGGCACTGTTCGCAAGTATAAATTGTCCCGAATAGTGTTCTGCAGATCGTGGTCAACTGAGCCTTTCTGGAATCTTGCATTCAAGAACTGACGAAGGTCTTTTGTTATTGCAGCTGAAACAAACGGACAGATATTTAACGTGAACATTACTCACCACCAATTTGGTTTCTTCTTGATTTTACATACTTCTTCCAGCGTGACTGATATTCAATTATACCAGACATAAATCAATGCTACAAAGCTAACAACAGAGATATATTTCATTCAATCAGAAATCATCTGCTACTGTGTGTCACAGAATATTTTCTGTATCGAAGGAAGTTTCATACAACTTGACCTTAATAACACCTCTATTTCATGCTATACATCAACATTCGGTATAACGTGCTGTTTCTGAGGAACAAAAAGACACAGCTGATAAGGAGTGTGCTTGGGATTCATGTGAAGTAGGCATTATAATGGACAAAACACCTAATACTTAAAAATATCTTATAACTTTTACTTTTAACAACCACTATAGAATTTAATAACAAATTTGTAATAGTTTTGAAAAAATAATCTAGTATTATGCATTCATTTTAGGATTTTCATGCAAATAATGAACAATAAGATGTGAAAACCTTTCACATCAAAATTAGATTATTGTATACTGCACATTTTGCCTTAGGATTAACACGTTGGACTCCAAAACAGTATATTTATGTAAGAAAGTTTCCACAATAAGACACAGCATTCAAAATTCATTATGCATATACGTATGAGCTGAATGCAGTAAGTGATCTGACGAGCAGCACGCGTGCATACACATAGACAAATAACATACTTTGCAAAGAAATCTAAGCAGTTCTAGCTCAGTAGCTTAAGTATATTCAGAATGACATGTTCCTTGTAACTTTCAGCAGAAGTGTCGGAAATTTACTGTGACTCTGCCAATCAATTAACAGATTTCTTACAAAAAAAAGCAAAACTTCCTAAGAGATTTGTGACTGTCTAGTACCTACATGAGACCTTCATCAACAGATTACAAAATACTGAGACATCTATTTAGTCATCGAAAAAAAGCACTGTACAACTGAAGCACAATCAGTACTTCAAGTCTGGAATGAAGAGCAATTTACCAGCCTTTCTCTGTGACATAACATTATGTCTCAGGGGTAGGGAGATACATTTAATCCTTTTGTGAATAAAATGAACACACTTAATGTCAAACACACACACCACTTTAACAACAATCAACTAACAAAAATTGGTTACAATTGCATATAGAAACCTCCTAAAGAAATTGAGAAGAACAGGCAATATAATAGATATTCCCATAACACCCTCACATACCACAGAAAGTGCATTAAGCAGTATAATGAAGGTCCTTGTGACGAAAAAGGACTGGACTGAAGAAGTGTAGAAAGTGGGTATAATCCACAATATCCAAACTTGAAGTACTACACCCTCTTTTGACAAATAACACACACAAACACAAAGGACAGACCCACAGTTTCTCAACCACAATTAAACAGACAAGAACTTTCTACATTGCATGATATCCCCCCCCCCCAAAAAAGTAAGACAATCATGAGATACACAATTAGAAATGCAGACTTAAGATTACTGACTTCTGTGTTGTGATGATCTGCAGTCTAGTATATCATTAACAGTTCCAAAGGAAAGTATTCAGGGTACAAGGCTATGTTAAATGTGTAACAAAGTGGCAACAATATGGACCAGGAGGCCAAGACTGGGGCTGTGGTTGGACCAACAGGAGACAGATGTAATGAGGGTAGAATCCTGGGCCTCCTTCCCTGTTCCTCTGTTCCACGCTTGTATGTTAAAGATGGAAAAGTTCCTCTGACATGCCAGTCAGTATCCAGCAGGTTACACATCATCACATCCCAGAAGACAGCCATCTTCATAGTCAACACCGTGAGAACCCAAAATCTTGCACAGAAATGCACATTAATCACAAGTGTACCACCCTCAAGCAAAACAATGGAGCACAGAAAGCAATGTCAGAGCATAAGTATGAGATGAAGTCATGCACTTATACTTTTATCTCGACAGACTTTGAGTACACTTTCCATGACGTCCACTATTTTAACTGTGTATGTCACAGGATAACAACACAATTCCAGCAAGGCTAGAATCAGTTACCTCATGCAAACCTACTAGCTGTGCTACAAAACACTGCCAATTCTGGCACAGGTACAGCCATCGATGTACAGAATGCTGTCCTAGTTACAGGAATACAATGAGCGAGACAACGAATAATTGTAACGGATACTGTATTTCTACAAAAATGTATTCTTTCGGTGGTTTCAAATGATCTGTACACTGTGTAACTATCTTTGACACCATATCACATATACAAAAATAATTACAATGTAATAAATGTCCAATACATTTAACCTTAGCCAATTTGAAGATAACAAGTAATAAAGGACAAAAGAATTAGAATATGCATTTCAATGATGATCTAAGCACTTAATTTAAGTCTCTTTCACTTCAACGTGTATTCTAATAGAACAGAATTTTGACTGCTTACATAACAGAAATATATACATACAATAAGCGCATTACGACTGTCCGATCAATCTTTCTACATAATGCTGAGTGAGAGTATTACATGTCACAACTTTCCCTCAAAATCCCTTTCAATTTAAAACATACCTTAATCAGATTTTACACAATTAGATTTCCTAGCTGCTGCAAAATCTTGGCCAGCAACTGAATCCTCACAAACACTTTATGCACAGCTGTTGCCAAGAAGTAATATTTCCCCTTGCACCAGAAGACATTTGGAAACATTCCACTTGGCACACCTTCCATTTTTTTAATCTAAAGATTCTAGATCACAATGTACTCTACAGACCACAGCAGAGAAGGCTTTGGAAAAGACATATTCTGTATCCACTGTCACACAGTTGTCTAAGAAGAGCACACTCTAGAAACTGCCCACCTATTATAGAAAGCAAAGGTTTATTATGGTGTTCACAACTGTCTATCTTGAAGAAATAAATCCACTTCATATCCTCAAACCTTATCACTTTGAAACTCCATTTTAATTAGTATTATCCTCCATCTATGCCCTTCCCCAAGTGGTCTCTTCCTTCAGTATGCATTTCTCAGCTCTCAGATACATGCTGCATGAGCTTGCTCATGCTGGAATTCTGACATCAGGAGCTTCCACTGACTTCAACAAGCTGAAAAGTTGATCTGTGGAGGATACACAGCGCCATTACATTGGGATCAAAAGTTGAACATGGCTCATGGGTCACACTGTCTGTTTCCAGTGATCTAGCCAGCCATATCATGACTGAAGTCACTAGTTTCATCAAACCTGTGAAATCTCATGAGCCAGATGATGATGGTGAACACATTTCATTAGAGTTCTGCAAATATATAAACACAAATGATCGTGTGAGATGAGTGATGACTAGCAAACAGGCACTGTCAAGCCGTTTAATAGCCAAGTACCGCCAACTAGAACCTGTTACTCATTTAAAATCCGATTTTGCTCAGAGACGTGCCAGCACACCTGCTATGCAAGAACATTATAATGACAAGAGATATGCTGACTGGTTGTGGCAGATATGAAGTTCTTGCAGGACCCAAACAGCACAGATTACGAGCAATATCTCTTCACAACTGTGAACACGGCTTCTGGTACCATCCATGATGATTCATACTATAGCACATCAAGTGGATTCAGTGTTAGTTCCTGCCATATATCTGTAAACTCAAGATGAGCAGATGGATCTCACAGTCAACAGAGACACTGATGCTACTCTAATATGTTTCTGTAACTGGAGAAAAAGACTGAATCCCACGTTAGCACACCCAAACCATTACGGCACTGCCATTTTTGTTAAGAAGCAAGACATTTGCGCAGGAAGTGACGACTATGGAAGTGCTGTGGGTTGCTGTGGTGCAGATCTGTCCTGTGCTATCTGTGAGGATACAGGCTTGGTGGTTGCTATGTTACTGGCACATGAAATAGACCACTGCTGAGTTCTAATCACGATTCTGATAATGACTACCCGCCAGTGTGACAATGCCAAGGCATCATGGTCTCATGTTTCACCTGCAAACTGCTTCATTTGCAGCACAAAATTTATCATTAAATTTTTGGACAACCTAGGAATAACTTTTTGGTGAACCACAAGGCCGTGATTTTAAATTTACACATATGCCTCCCAGTGTTGTGTGTGGCCACCAATGGCAGTGTAATGACCACTACGGACCTACCAGACCTTGTGGCTTAGGCAAAGATAAAAATTGTAGGCATCTGAGTTGCACACTTGTTGGAACCAAGAAATGTCAAAGGGTTCCCCAGCCATTGGAACAAGTAATGGAAATGAGTTGATGCTGGCACAAGGACGGGTACTGTTAATAGTCGCGAGGGAGAGTGGAGTTTGTGGTCTGAGTGTTCACGGTCTTGTCGTGGTGGCACCTCTTCTACTGAATGCCACTGTGACAATGCCAGACCAAAATTTGGACAGTGCTGCATTGGGAAGCATCGGCAGTATAGATTGTGCGCATACAGAGCTGTGTGACGAAGAGGCATTATCTTTTCAAGAGGACAATGAAGGTGATATCAGGGTTTCCCACAGTGATGGCAAGTGATGAACAACCAGAATGTGAACAACACTCTGGAACCTAGAGTGAAGGATGGAACTCCATGCAAGAGAGGTTCTAAAAACAAGTTCCCAGCCAGAAAATGTAATGATGGCCGTGGCTGGGTTCCACACTCCGATGCCATCGAAGTACACAGAAACTGGAAAAGATTATCAGAAACTGTAAGTATACCACAAGGCCCTAGATTCACTACAGTGGAAGCGATGAAACCTAACAAAAATTTCTTCGCACATGAACAAGTACATCAAATTATGTATAATAAATTATGGCACTGCGGTTATAATTGTAATATGGCTGCGGCAATATTTCTTCATATTCGGTTTGGTTATCACGGATGTAAAAATAACGAATAATTCAACATTTTCGTCGTACTCACAATTATGTGAAGAGAAAATTTAAGAACTCACATAACCTCTTCTATACCGACTGCGAATCAAATTCCGCCCTCTGTGGGCGAAAAGTCTTCGCTGCACACTCGCAAGAC